TTGATGGAGAAGACGGTACAATCCCAGAGGCGACCAAACCTATGAGAGAATTACTCCAAGTTGGGGTGAAAACTTCCTGCATTCCAGAAGTTCGATGGCATTGAGAAGGTGAATCACAGTAACTAACTCAACGCAAGGAGTGCAAACACTTCAAGTGCTTCAGAAGTGTGAGCAAAGAGCAGGCGAAGGCCAGTAACCAGCTCGATGCATGGAGTACAACCTCGAGGAGGCGGGCGAAGTTAAGTAACCTTTTCCTTCTCAACTCTTAAGAGAATGGGCGAAACGGAGTACCCCAATTCTCTTATCTATCCAGCAGAGGAGCTCTGCCTATGTTCAAAGACCCTTCGAAGATAATGGAAGACAATAGTTGTCAAATCCTCACCAACAGGTGATCAGTGCTACTGAGAGTAGATTGTCCGCTTCATTTCCCAACGAAATGCCAATCGAAAGCGGAAGTGATGCGAACCTACTTGGATGTGGCAACTAAGTGAAAGAAGAGTCAATGAGCAGATTTTGTGGAGGAAGGACCCAAAAACTTCAGAAGTTTGCGAGATGATGCTCGTTAAAGCTCCAACAAGCATCCACCCAGTTCAAGCAGCATGAGAAATTTGAGAGACTGGCGCAGTAAGGATGGTCTTTTCCTTCATCTGGGGGATCCGCAGAAATCAACAAGGATCAACACAACTCAGCCAACCCCACACCAGAGTCAGAGTCATTGGTGAGTTGAAGCAGCATGGCGGATCAAAGGTTCGACTACTCAAAATCAGCAGCGGAAAGCAGCTAGGAGCCAAGAGGTGCATTGTAGCTGGAGCAGAAGATTGAAGACTCAGCAAAGGCGAGGAGTTACAGTGTCGACAAAGGCTTCAACGAGGACGTCGAAGGAATAAGTGGGGGAGAATGTCACGGACAAACTTTTAAACAAGGTGTTTGATGTAATGCTTATGCATGTCCGTGTCTTTTAGCATGTTCATGCCTTGTACAGCATGTAGAGGGGCGGCTGAAGGCTTAATAGTCTCATTTTAGTTGGGTTGGTGGCCTCTTTAGGCTTGTAAATAAAGGTTGTGTCATGTGGACACGTATGAGAGATTTTCAGTCTATAATGGACCATTTTACCCTTTGTTGTGCAACGGTTCAGAGCTCGTAAGATCTGTTTGTAATTTGCATTGTCTATGAAGTATTTTTCGGAGATGTTTGCTTGTGGATCCCGATTGAGGCGTTCTCTCTAACCCGTTCTCTCTTTTGTTGGTCCTAAGGGACAATGGGAGGCTTCGGGGAGGCTGACCTTTGCGGACGAACACGCAAGGGTGCCACACGACTTAGGCAAAACCAGCTAAGTCCGTGACAGTATGTTAAATTGACTCTCTGGAGCCCTCATTTCTAATAATATGCCAACTTTATGAAAGTTTGCTACATTGACTCTTTTCCACCATTAACAATTTAGATCAGTTGTGAGAAAGAATTCAGAAATTCAAAGGAGCATAACTTCACCATTAATTTTGTGGAATAGTAACTTCAAAAGCATGAAGTACATGTAAACCTAATTTTCACTAACTTCATTAATATATGCTTGAAATGGAAATCCAACCTGCTTGTGAATGCTTTATGACGAAGTTCTCATCAGGAAAGGTACCACCATATATAGATTCACTGCCCCTACCATCACCATTAGTGATATCACCACCTTGTATCACAAAACCAGAAACTATACGATGAAATTTTGTTCCCTTATAGTGAAGATTTCTTCCACCAGTCCCATTGCTCTTTTCACCTGCTACCAAATCATAGGTTGCAAACAATCTTTAGAATGTACTTTGCCTCATCAAGACACTAAAAATCAACAAATAAGGCAGAAATATCTTCTGACGCAAGTCCAGATACCTGTGCAGAGAGCTCTAAAATTTTCTGCCACGAAAAGAGGAAAAAAAAAATGATATACATTAGTTGACATGTTGAAACAAAGATATGTCAGAACACATGCACGATCAAATTTAAGTACACTGAAGATTAAAAAAGAAATGCATAAGTTGACATGTTGGAACACGAAAGGTCCAAACACATGCATGATCAAATTTAGGTACACCAAACTAACAACTAACAAAAGGTGCACAAACAAGTGAAGAAGTGGTTAAAATCTCTGACCTTATAGGTTAAGCCAAACTAATTGAAGCCACATTTTGGCAATAATAATCGCTAGTGGTTAAAATCAATAGGAGATAAATGATTCATGGGTCAAGGACAACCACTGAGGTTCTTTATTTGACTACCTAATCATGGCAACTGATATATGGACCAGAAGTTTCTTCATTCCATTAAATTTGGTGGAAGTGAACATGGCAACTGATATTTGGACCAGAAGTCGGTGGGGAGAACTTCAAAGAGAATGATAGGCTGTTATAGAAGGCCGAAGAACATGAAGAGCCATTACATCCCACATGCTGAATTTACAATGATGCTGTTAATGACTAGCTTTAGGGAAGTAGTCAGGTAAGCAAAAATTGAAATTGTGCACTTCACAGTCTGATGTATTCTTATTTGGAAACAGAAATAAGTTTCCAATATTCTATAAAGCAACCACAGTGCTTTAATGGTAAACATACAACATAGTGCACATGTTCTATGCAGTCACATATGCAGATTGTGTACACCAATCACTTCAATCAACCTATCAGTCTAAGCAACAATATATTGATGTGTCATATGTAGTTATAGACAATTCAAACAAATGTAAACATTAATTTTACATGAAATGTACAGGAACCATGACAGGTTAGTCACAGTTACATACCAACAGTTTTTGGCACCACCTCTCCATATAGTCCAATGACAATCCTACCTGAGGTCACAAATGAGTTCTGAGCACATTATACTACTTGTTGATCTTCAGCTGGAACTGGGTTAATCCATAAAGAGTTAAATGCAATTGTAATTAATTGGAGAAAAGAGCAGAAAAATCACATAATCACAACAAATGAATTTCTTGATGTCCCTAAACACATTGTCATTGATATTTTCATAACTATAAGAAGGACAATGTCTGTCAATCCATCAGGAAGAAAAGGTTTACAATTACTTTAAAACAATTGTTTTATAAACTGAGCATGTCATAATATAATTCAGTAAATTATATTTGTATAGGTCTCCTTAAGAAAATAAACCATAACCTACAAACACAAAAGCTGCAAAGAAGGATGAGAAATATTGACCGCTAAACACCCTCTTTATTTCAAATAAGCCAAGATCTTATATAATAACACAATTCTGAAAACATTGATCACTACAAGGAGCAATTGGAGGACAATATAAAGGTCACTTCAAATATAGAAGGTGGATGCCTGTTAAGCCTAATGCCTGCATCATGTGCAGCACCAACCATCTTAACAATTAATCCATTGAGACAAAGTAGGCATACATGTCAGCTAGTATTAATTATGTGGCACTTAAACCAATTGATTAATATTCAGAGGAAAGAATAAAAGATATTTTCATAAAGAATTTATAGAAACAGATGATTATAGATACCTGCTAGGCTTAAATGAACCAAATAAGCAAACATAAGTTCAAGTACATGAACCAAATCTTTTTATAATGCATTAGAATTTATACTTCCATTAAATGTACCTAAATGTTGGCCATCAATATCGACATCCAAGAAAACTCTATGAGTTTTTTCAGGCTCTTTTTCCACCTTAAGTTTATCCTGCAGAGGCAAAATAAGCTTTAGTTCTTAAATAATAAGAAAGCACTGATATTCGACACATAAGACAGAAACAGTAGTTTTCAGCAAAAGGGAAATTTGACAAATAATATGAAGGCAATCATTTTTTATTGATGAAATGTCTGCAAAAACTTACAAATAAGGCCTATAATTTTCTCTTGATTTCTAAAACACAGTTTAGAGAAGAACAAACCAAAAAGCTGTATACACTAAGGAAGTAACCAGACATGCTTGCGATGTGACATCAACACATAAAAAAAATGAAAATGTTCACTTGTAAGTCTTTCTATGTGCTAACATCTTGGTTGAACAACTGATCCCAAATCCATAAGTAAATGCAGATAATCTCTTCCCTATCTACCATAATTTCAAGTCAATTGTAATATATTTCTTGATTTTGCAGCTGATAATTATATAACTCCAGAATATGACCACTATAAATAACTACAAAGAGACAGGATCCTATTATGCAATCAGAATAAAAAAATTATGGAACATGTCCACCATTTATCATATGGAACTCTTTTGTAACTGCTTTAATAGGCAGCTGCACAGGATTGACAAGAACATACACAGGGTCCATCAGCATATGCCAATGAAACTCATTTGCATCCAAAAGGACAAGAAGGTGAGGAAGGATAAGTTGTTCAGTTGTCATATCCCAAAAGGCTTAACAACAGCACAATGTCATGGCATCTGCTCTATGTCAACATTTCTGCTAAAACATAAAATAAAAAAGAACATACAGTAAACATTTTCATAGAACTGTAAACCTATTGTTCGAAACCACATGGTATCTAAAAATCTGCTAAAGAAATGACTTTAAGCAAAAACACATTGCCAAGAGATGCCAGAGATTCAATTTGCATTAGATATTCGAGTTCTAAACATGGTTTGAATCAGTGATTGCTGTACCTCCCGAAACGATATGGCAGACAGTACATACCAGTCCTGGGTGTGGACCGATATGCAGACCACTCCCGTTTCGAGCGGTCCAATTAAAATAGTAAAAATTCAAAAAATGGTGGGCCCTACTCCATTTCAGCATTAAAAAAGATTTTTTCTTTTTAAAGACAAGTTAGGACTATTGAATCCCGGATTTTAATGATGAAATTAATTGATGAGTTTACGATTTAATGTGCTATTTGAGAAAAGTGATACAACACTAATTTCGATCATGAAAAGACAAAACAATTAAGGCAAAACAATCCAAAGTTGGGCTGGAGTCAGAGATTGGGCATCGGGCTGGATGAATCGAATGTTGCGCCAAGATCGGACGTTGCGCCAAGTTCGGACGTTGCGAGAGTCAACATGCCGATGGATTGTGCGATACGCCAAAGGTTTGAACGATGCATCGAAAGTTCGTCGGAAGTTCACGTGGAGCTCGGATGAACAAATGACAAGTCGGACAACTTATATTTACTGTTTTGTAATTGTTTAAGTCTTAATCATCGTAATTAGGTCTTAATTTAAGTTAGGTTTGGATGTAACCCTACTAACTCAATTAGAGGCCAAGTGAGCCTGAATAAGGGTTGTATTAGGCCAAGAGGAAGGTTCATTCAATGACCCTTAGCTGGCCCAGGCAGTGGCACTGCTTAAGGCTCGACCTCCCAGGTTGTTTGGGGGGTGGTACCGCCCAAACAATCTCCCAGATTGTGTCAGGTGTCAGTGTTAAACTGGCACCGCCCAGTGTCAGACTGATAGGCGATGGTACCGCCAGTTGTCAATCTGGCATATGGTGGTACCGCCAGTACCCCGAAAATCGAGGATTAGACACTTTTTGACTCCATTTTGAAGTCATTGGGGCCTATAAATACCTCACTCTTTCCTGCATGAAAGAGCACGAAAAGTGAAAAAAAATCTTGAGATTTTGAGTTGTAAAAGTCTTGAAAAAGTGCTAAGTGTCCTTCTTCTTAAGATTTGTGATCATTTTAAGAGATGTGTGAGGCTTGTAAATGTTGTCTCTTAAACCTGTGAAAAGGAAAAAGAGTTTTAAGAGGTTAGTTGGTCACCGCCCATTGAAGGAAGACCATTAATGAACGCCGATGGCCTCGACGGAGGAGGAATCGGGAGTGGACGTAAGTCACAACGACCGAACCACTATAAATTCAGTGTGCTCTCATCTTTGTTGTTTATCTTTATTGCTTACTTATTTTGCTGCTCACTCTACCTTGCACCTACTTTTAAGTCAAGCACACTCGAGATTGGTTTTCATCGAACGAGATTTTGTTGAATCGACAAAAGTTTTCCTTAAGCACTAATTCACCTCTTCCTCTTAGTGTCGATTTTGATCCTAACAAAGGCTTGTGAACGCAAGCACTCTTCTCTCGTACGATGCCGCAGCCCTCGCTGCTGCGATGCTGCAGCGGTACTGCCTCTTCTCCCTGTTGCTTTCACTTCAACGCTGCCGCTGCACTTCTACACCTCCTCTTCTTTCTTCTTCTTCTTCCTTATTCCTTTCTCCTTCCTCCTAATCCTTGTTCCTATGTTCCTCCACCGCCCATTCCTATTCACTCTCTTTTTCTTCTTTATCGAAATACCAATATGCACCGGCATATTATGTATCGGTACACCGGTACATACCGTTCCAGCAGATTACCGAAATGGATCCGGTACCCGAAAAGGCAAACCCTAGTTTGAATATCTAATCTGCACGACGTTTAATTCTTCTTCAGAACTCAAATTCCTGGTTAGTGAACCACAAAATCGTCAGATATTAAAACTTTCCACCTCACTATTTGCAAGCTTCCAACTCACAACATTTCACGGACTAAATAGAAACCAAATTCCAGGTAATGGAACAATTTCGTCAAGAATTACGGAACGCATCGTGTCAAGCTATAGATATCAAGAGAAAGCGAAGCTAGATATTAACAAAGAAATGTTATATCTCGAGATCGTAAGGATGGAAGAATGTGGAAAGGGGAAGGGATCTGAAGAAAAGAGGAATCGGCCGGACCTCCTTGTGGGTGATGGAAAAGCCGAGAAGGATGATGGCGAGGGCGAGGAACGCGACGACGGCCTTGCGGATCATCGCTGCCTCGGATCGTGCCGATCGACCGTCGTCGCTTCTCCGAAAGCCTCGTTGTTTCCGATTCTTCCCTCGGTCGCCAGTCGTTGACACCACTGCGCCAAATCTCTCACTCTCGAGGGTTGCTTTTGAAGAAATGGGCGAGATCCGATATTTTCATTCTCCGTTGTGGCTTTTGCTTTTGTTTTTTAGCTTTTTCTTTTTTTCTTTTTTTGAATTTTTGGACGATACTATTGCATAGTACTCGATTTTTAAAAATATGGTAGAATATATTTTTTCATAAAAGATAATTTTGTTATAAGCTTTCATGAAATATCGTTTATAAATTTACATATGTGCCCCTAGTTGTCTAGGCCTTTATCGTTTGTCATACGTGCCTTCGTGTGCAGAATCCTAATCGCCTGTACTGTAAGCAAGGACGACAAGGGTGAGATATGCATCATCGACAACAAGGGTTGTGATTTCAACCAATGAGGGTTAGTTTTTCGTTTCGATTAAGTTATACGACACCTTTGCATGTCTGTTCGTAAAGTATTAGGGTCCTCGAAATCTTTTATGGTCCTTCGATAACATACAAAATATAAAACGGATTAGAGAAAGCGTTTAACTTACGATCTCATATATAGACATTTCATCAAACACTTGATAATCAATGCAAATTATAGACATAAACTTTACAAGCTCGAAACGATCATATGATAAAATTGATGTTCTTGATGCTACTAAACAAGGTAGTGAACTAACCCTAAACACTACTCCAAAGGCTCATCCAACCATGCTCTATATGGGTAGCTCCAAGGTGTTATACTACTGATACTCTATACCACTCTATAAAGCTAAAAAAATCTCAAAATGACTACTTACATAATCTATTTTTAAGTAGTTTTATCTTTATATAATGATTGCACATAATCTATATTTACATAACTGGAACAATCACAAGAGCCGGTCAAAATAAGACTGTTAAGTTTATTTCTACATATTGTACAAAGCATAAACAAATCAAAATATATGGACACATAAATATTATATCGAACACCTTATATATAGAATTATCTGTGATATTCTTCCTCACCTATTCATTTGATGTCATCATCAAAGTTTTTATGGACATTGCATCTCTTTACCTTTGCTAAATCTTTAATTTTCTACTCTAATTGCAATATGTCTCTTGGCTTCCAATTGCTCTTCGTCGCTATTGTTAGGTAGTCGAGCTTTGATCTATAAATACTGCTTCAACTCATCAACGACTCTGACTCTAGTTTGAGGTTGATCAAGTGCTGATCTTTGTTAGTTACAATAGATCCCTCAAATGAAAAAAAGACTTTTTTTATTACGCATTAGTCTCTCAAATATCTCACACCACTCTAGGTGAATATCTATTGGAGTTTTAACGAGTATCCTCTCCTAGATTTTTAATTTTTTTTAAGTCTTTTCTTAATAAAAATTTTTCATTGATTTCTCTCATGCTTAGTTGTCACTTCCATATCACTTTCACTTTCGATTTGTATTCTTTTATAAAATAAAGTGGACATTCTACTCTTGATAGAACTGATCACTATTGGTGAATATTTGATAATTATTATATTCCACTAAGTCTCTTTGAATGGTCTTTAAATATGTAAGAGAACTAAGATACTTGATTTTACTCATTATCTTAAAAGTTAAGAAGATAAAGGTTTCTTGGCTTTACCCACCCTTTTGAAGGTTATACTTTATGTTTTAAGTTGGTTACAAGACTTCGCTTAATTTTTGTTTACATTTCTAAAGCACTTGAACATGAAACATTTATACTCCTTATATTAAATTAACTATTGTAATTCATCTCCTAGTTGTCATCAAACTTCTCTCTACATTATCATTTGCAACCCTCTTCATATTACATTGTACTCACGTCTCTCTTCTCTCTGTTATTGTATCTTTTTGTTTATCATGATACTTCTTTCCCTTTTATTGTCGTCACCATTATCATCTTCAAATCCCTCGTGATCATGCTCAACTGACTATCTCTTTGTCGCCTCTATTATTAATGTCATATATAACTCATATTATCTCTACGTTGCCCTTTGTAACCCTCTTCTTATTATACTATACTCACATCTCCCTTCCCTTCATTATCATTTTTTTAATTTATCAAGATACTTATTTTTCCCTTTTCTTTATCGTCATCACCACAATTGTCTTTCACCACGGTCGTCTCTCCCTTTTATCGTCGCCTCTTTCTTTGAAGCATTTGAACCTGAAAATATTTATACTCCTTATGTTGAACTAATTGCTATAATTCGTCTTCTAGTTGTCATTAAATTTCTCTATATGTTATCGTTCGCAACCCTCTTCGTATTGCGTTGTACTCATGTCTCCTTTCTCTCCATCATCGTATCTTTTTGTTTATCACAACACTTCATTCCCTTTTCTTTACCGTCATTATCGTTTTCGAATTCCTCGTAATCATGCTCATCAACAGAATATCTCTCTCTCTTGTATTTATCACCATCGTTAGTGTCCTCATATTCTCTCTACGTTGTCTTTGTAACCCAATTCGTATAATATTGTAGTCACAATATTTTTTTTATCATGATACTTAATTTTTCCTTTTCTTTTTTGCCATCACCATTTTCGTCTTTCTCCGCTTTTCTCTCTCTCCCTTCGATCGTCACCTCCATTTATCCCTTTCATCACTAGGCTTGTTACTCACCTCCATCCCACCGTTCGTTGATGATCGCACGGCTCGCACAGCACAATCGATTGTACGAATCATAAAGCAGGATCTCGGTGACATCGTTCGGTGTTAGGATCGCCGTCGATTGATGATAGCGCGGATCTCACAGCTCAATCGATTGTGCGAATCATAACGTGGGATCTCGATGACATGTGTTAGGATCTCCTTCACCCCTAGGTGGTTCGATCAATCCTACGGTCAGTAGAGAGGGATCACATCATGGAACGGACGATACGTGAGAGTATGACGAGTAATTAAAAATGCAATTGCAGATGATCCTCACGAACATCATGCCACGGTGAACTCACGGACTTGAGCCCAACTCGTCCCGCGATCGGTCCTCTCGGCGGTCACCAGCGGGGTCCACTCGGCCACCGCGCATCGACGTCGACAATAGAAGGACGGCCAATGACACATTTCCACTTGTTTAACGCTAAGGAAACTTCCAGAATGGCTCCTTGCCCTCAAACCATCTCGTCCGTCCGTAATTGTACGACCCATAGATCCAACGGTTCACGTCCATTTCCTTTTCTCATGAACAATTCGGGACCCACGGAAGACTTGACTTAATCCGCTTTGCTCCACGTCAAGATCCCATTTGAAAGCCACTAAAAATCCACCACGTGTCATAAACTTGTCTCATCCGTCTGATCTTCCACGCTGGCGCGATCAGCGTCATCGACACGGTAACATAGGCTACCATTTTATATATACTCCAAAACCCAAGCCGAACACCAACGGAAACCCAAAGCCGGCACTGAGACTGAGGCACGCGATGAGGAAGTGGGCGCTCCCTTCCGCTCTCCTCCTTCTCCTCCTCCTCTCCACTGTCCCCGATCGCGGTACTCCCACGATCTTACCCTTGACTTCCCGGATCTGATCTCAGCGATGTGTCCTGGATTGGTTCTCGGTTTTTAGGGTTTTAGAGCTAGTTCTTATTCGATCTTTGCGGATCTTTGTAGGGCGGAATCTGCACGCGAATGCGGAGGACAGCGGGGATTCAGACGAGCTCGTGGATCCGCCGAAGGTGGAGGAGAAGCTCGGAGCTGTTCCCAATGGGCTGTCCACTGATGCAGAGGTCGCCAAGAGGTGATTCTTTTCTCATTTTCACTTTCATTTTCCGATTCGCCCTTTCTCTTTGTTTCTTTCTGCTTGATCTGTTAGTATAAGGTGTTATACTTTGATGATTATTTTTTTCTCGTGATTTGTAATAGAGAAGCGGAGTCGATCTCGAGGAAGACTCTGCGAAGCAACGCTGAGAAGTTCGAGTTCCAAGCTGAGGTTTCTCGGCTGATGGATATTATCATCAATTCTTTGTACAGTAACAAAGACATCTTTTTGAGAGAGCTAATCTCAAATGCCTCTGACGTAAGCAGATTGGACCTTTCTTTTCGTTATATATATATATTTTTCCTTCTTTTCATCTCGATGTGATTAATTTTTTCAATTATTTCTTCAATTAGGCATTGGATAAGATCAGATTCCTCGCTCTCACCGATAAGGACGTCCTGGGTGAAGGCGACGACACTAAGCTTGATATCCTTGTGAGTAGCATCTTATGAAAACATAGTTCCTTTATACCTTCAACGGGAGAATTCGAAATAACAGAAAAGATATATCTATGTTAAAATGCAGATAAAGTTGGACAAGGAAAAGAAGATCCTTTCCATCCGTGATCGAGGTATTGGTATGACAAAGGAAGATTTGATTAAAAACTTGGGGACGATTGCCAAATCTGGAACTTCAGGTATTATTTATTTTATCATTTATATTAGTGGTCTAGTTTCTGATCCCAACTGGGAGTACAAGCTTAGAAAGTACTACTGTTTCTATGCAGCTTTTGTGGAGAAAATGCAGACAGGAGGTGACCTGAATCTCATTGGGCAGTTTGGTGTTGGTTTCTATTCAGTGTACTTGGTTGCTGATTATGTTGAAGTAATTAGCAAGCACAATGATGACAAGCAGTAAGTTGATAGTCATCAATATGTTTTATTATGATCCATAAGTTTTCTGTGATCTGCTGCTGGCTATTCTTAGGCGTTGATCACATTTTTGACTTGTTCTTATGGTCTTTCAGGTATGTATGGGAATCCAAGGCTGATGGGTCTTTTGCAATCTCTGAGGATACATGGAATGAACCTTTGGGTCGTGGAACAGAGATAAGGCTGCATTTGAGGGATGAAGCCAAGGAGTATCTTGAACAAGATAAGTTGAAGGTTGGTGCTTATTTTAATTTAGTATCTATTTCTTCTGCATGTACTTTGTTACATTTTCTTTTGTGTTATGTCCTCGTAATTCAACTTATTTAACACCAGTGATATCATCTATGAACATCAGGTTTTGTGAAACTCACTATGGTTATTCATAAAATTGGTCTTGACTTCGTTCCACTGGGTGGCCAGCCCGTGATATGTTTGTTAGATATCTCGTCTGTCATAGTACAGTGACTATTTGTACCCTATCAAATATTGTCTTTAGTCTGACTGTGGACTTCATTATCATATCTATAAAAGTTGCAAATTCGTAGTAATATATCAAGAAATTTTCAAATGCATAAGTTCTAATAAGTTCCTCTGTCATGTTTGATTTAATTTGATATCATTTTGTCGATTACTTTGAGTTAATGCTATGAATATTCGTATACCATAGGCTAAAACTAAGTAAACCGTATAGTTATTTTGATTTTGATTTTTTCCAAATGAAAAAAAGTAAACTGAAATATTTCTTGATGTGAATTGTATCCATTCTTTCAGTCATTACAGTAGCTGCTAAAATTGATATATGACTGTTGTACAATTCTACTGGGGTCTAACGTTTACTCTTTGGTCTTTGATAACCATTCATGAATTCTACAGTTGAATTTGCACTGACCTTTTTATGATTTCAGGCCATTAAGTGTGTTTTTATTTATAAACTTCCTGATTCTTTTCAATCTGTATTACTTCAGGAGCTTCCTGTCAGATCATAATTTTGATTAACTATTCCTTTTAGAGATCTGATATTTTTTGGTACGATAATAGCATATAGAATTTAATCTAGATTATGGCTTAAGTTTGAGCAGCTTATTAACATTTGTCCTTTGACCTTTGCTATTACTTTACCTGCATCAAAGTACTAATAGCTATATGATAAGCTGATCTGAGTCTTTAGTTAGCTTGCACAATTTTTGAAATTATTTTGATTTTCAGCCAAAGAGACAAGTTGTAATTTACTTCTCTTGTTGTAGGAACTGGTGAAAAAATATTCTGAGTTCATCAACTTCCCAATATACCTCTGGGCAAGCAAAGAGGTGGACGTTGAAGTTCCATCTGATGAAGAAGAATCTACTGAAGAAGAGGAAACATGTATGTTTTTTATTATTCTCCCTTTGTTGAAGACATTCTTTTACAATCCATGTTACATTATTTTGTAACATTGTTACATTGGTGACTTGTTTGAATTGACAGCTGAAACGACTTCAGAAGATGAAGAAACAGAAGAGGATGCTTCTGAGAAAAAGCCAAAGACAAAGACAGTGAAGGAAACAACTTATGATTGGGAAGTTCTGAATGATGTGAAAGCCATATGGCTTCGCAATCCAAAGGAGGTCACTGATGAAGAATACTCTAAATTCTACCACTCTTTAGCTAAGGTAAATTTCTGTCATCTGTGTTTTTGTAGATGTTTGACTGGAGCTTTAGCACCTGAATTTCAAAGAAAAAAAAAACCATGAGCCTTCAACTTTTTTATCCATTTTTGTCAGTGAGTTCATTCATACCAATGTATGATACTGTGAGCATGGGATACCAGGCCTGTCGTGCCTGGTCATATGACTGAAATGTCATGCTTGAAGTTACATAACTGCTTACTCTTCCAGGACTGGCATGTGCTTGGCACATATGTATCAGAAGCCATTGATTGTTTTTTGCCCTGTTTACTTTGTACAATAGCACTCGAGTTTCTTGGCTATTTGATTGTCATTATAATTTTCCTGGTCATGTAGGATTTCAGCGATGAAAAGCCACTGGCGTGGAGTCACTTTACTGCTGAAGGTGATGTAGAGTTCAAAGCTTTGCTTTTTGTGCCTCCCAAGGCTCCCCATGATCTCTATGAAAGTTATTACAACACCAATAAGTCCAACTTGAAGCTGTATGTCAGAAGGGTTTTCATCTCAGATGAGTTTGATGAACTTCTTCCTAAGTACCTTAGCTTCTTGAAGGTCAGCAAACAGCATTCTTAAGTGGTATCTGAGGTCACTTGGTGGGACAGGTTTGTTATATTAGCAATCTCATTTGTGCAATATTTTTATGTGCAGGGTCTTGTTGACTCGGATACTTTGCCACTTAATGTATCACGAGAAATGCTTCAACAACACAATAGTCTAAAGACAATCAAGAAGAAGTTAATCCGTAAGGCTCTTGATATGATTCGACGAATTGCAGATGAGGACCCTGACGAGTTCCATAATAAAGATAAAACAGGTTAACATCCCTATATATTTTCTTTTTACTTGTAGCTGCTTTGCTGCTTGTTAATTAAGTTGTGATTTTTTTTCTTTGATCTCCGTGATATACTTTCAGAAAAAGAAAGTGAAGAGAATGAGAAGAAGGGACAGTATACTAAGTTCTGGAATGAGTTTGGCAAATCTATCAAGCTTGGAATCATAGAGGATGCACATAACAGAAATCGTCTTGCCAAGCTTCTTAGATTTGAGAGGTGTGTTCTATTATTAAATTTTCTTTTCCATTCCTTATGTTTTCTGATAGGTTCCAAAATTCTATTTGGTTCTAAACATCTTTAAATGTCTGTTGCTTACAGTACTAAGTCTGAAGGTAAGCTTGCCTCGCTGGATGAGTACATCTCTAGAATGAAGCCAGGGCAAAAGGACATATTCTACATTACGGGAACTAGCAAGGAACAATTGGAGAAATCTCCATTCCTTGAGAGACTCACAAAGAAGAATTATGAGGTCAGTCGATGTGTTTTATTTGCAATCTTTTTACCTTTACTGCAATTTATGCCTGTAAATGAATTGGACCTGGATTGTACTGTGGTCAATTTGTTTCGGATCCTCATTTGATTAGAATGGACCAGATCCTAACACGGTCAAAGGATCAGGAATGGGATCCATATTTGCGCTGACTGTGATCCTCATCACTGATTTTCTTTACCGCCCTTGTCGGGCCCTGATATATTATATATTATATATAATACAAATAGATAGTAGTATATATTATATTAAATAATATATAAAAATATATTTGGAGATTGGATTGGGCCATGATCAAATTGATATGAGCTTGCTTTGGTTCACATACAATTACAAGGATCTGACTGGACTGGCTATTGTTCAGGTCAGTGGGTAAAAAGTATGATCCATGCTGGGAATAATCAGAATGGTGTGGGTGAGATCTACTCCATTTTTAGGCCTATGACATTTGTTTTGGTTGATGACTATTTTGGATGGAACAGTTTCTTTCAATAATTGAATTTTAAGAATAATATAAAACGAGTATTGTAGTATTAGAATTTCCTATGGGTTTGTGCCAATGTGAAATCAGATTAGTCTGACTTGGAGTTCTCTTCATAAAGGAACATTATTTGTCTTTCATTACTTCTAATATTGTTGAAGCTAAAGATGCCTTACAAGTATTTTGCTTTAGGAGTGTTCAGGTCTTTTGTTTAAAACATGTTATCTTGGTGACTGTTTGATTTTTCCACATTTATCCATTCAAAATTAACAGGGTCAGCCTACTATAATCTTTTGCCCAATTTTCTCTAGCCTCTTATGTGTTTTCTCAATGTTGTAGGTCATATTCTTCACTGATCCAGTTGATGAATACTTGATGCAATACCTGATGGACTATGAAGACAAAAAGTTCCAGAATGTGTCAAAGGAAGGTCTCAAACTTGGAAAAGACTCAAAGCTGAAGGACCTCAAGGAATCCTTCAAGGAATTGACCAACTGGTGGAATGATGCTCTCTCCAGTGAGAATGTAGATTCAGTCAAGATAAGCAACCGTTTGGACAACACCCCTTGTGTGGTGGTCACATCCAAATATGGGTGGAGTGCAAATATGGAGAAGATCATGCAATCTCAAACTCTCTCTGATGCCAGCAAGCAAGCTTACATGCGTGGCAAGAGGGTGCTGGAGATTAACCCAAGGCATCCTGTCATCAAGGAACTTCGTGATCGTGTAGCTCAAGATTCAAAGGTATCAAATCAAGCTTCACATTCTTTTTAGTCTTTCGTTAGCTCAAACTTTCCACAATTCTCTTCTTATATACCTCGGCGTAGATTCAATACCAAGTGCCAAACATCCAGAAATAAGCATAATTTCTCCTATCATTTGTCTCTACTTTTCGTGCCTTCAATTCATCATCATTCTAATTGCCGATTAATTAAATATATATGCAGGATGAGAGTCTCAAGCATACAGCACGACTGATATACCAAACGGCCCTCATGGAGAGTGGTTTTATCCTCAATGATCCAAAGGAGTTTGCCTCGAGTATATACAAATCTGTGCAAAAGAGCCTCGACATAAGTCCTGACGCAACGGTAGAAGAGGAGGATGATGTAGAGGAAGCCGAGGAGGAAGAGAAGGGAACAACTTCAAACACGGAATCTGATGAGATTAAAGAAGACATCGATGAGTCTTCGCTCAAGGATGAATTGTAGATTTCTATAATCTCATCCTTTCAGAGGTTTTGATAATTCCAAATAGGAAAAGAACCCAGAAGACTATAAGCAGGTTAGAGCCATCCAGTTTCGATGTGTAACCTCAAATTGTGATTGAGATGTTGCTAATTTGGTGCACGATGTTTACTTTGAATTCATGCTTTCCCATTGTGACTTCTCGCTTTCTTTCTATGATTACTGTGGCATGTAGCTTTTCTCGTGAACAGTAGACAGTTATCATCCACCGAAATTGAAGCTTCATTTGAAATGCGGTAACTGTATTCCTTGTTTTTTGGGAATAATTGTGATGAGCACAAAAAATTACTATTTATTGTTCATTGTAGTGAGATGCTGTAGCTTCTTGCGAGATAAATAGACATAGAACAGAAATTGTTTGTTCATCATACACCGACCACCATGACACAAGCATAACTTGTATATCATTCCAGATCATGAATGCAGCATCTCAAACTTCGGAAACAGTGCAAATGCCATGTATATTGAGTACAAAATGAATTGTACACCAAGTTCTCATTAAAGAAACCATATACCAGTACACCAATCTCCACACTTCACATGGCTCATATGTATGGCTTAAAGAATACAGAGCCAAGAAGAAAGAAAAGATAGAAATCAATCCAACCATCTTGGTCAAAAAGAATACTTAGATTTATAGTTAATGGAGAATTAGCGAGAGCACCAGCAGTAGGTGGGAGGACAAGCAAGCTGCAAGCTAGGGGAGGAGAGAGTCAGCAGCCGGCTTTGCAGCGCCAAAGAAGACCATGGTTTCGTTCGTCGGCGGCAAGCCTGCTGCCTTGGGGTTCTGAGCTCCACCTCTGGGCTGCAAGCTGCAGCACATGAAGAACAAAGAGATGGAAGAGACACGTCAGCCACGGGAAGCTCTTACAGTGATGTGAGGTCTCATGCGTTCTATTTTGCATGGAGATCGACGACTTCATCTGTAAGACGATTTGGTCTTTCGGTGGAACAATAAATTAGCCGTTGACTTGTTTCTCGTGCTCGACCGCTTCTATCATAATGGACAGCTCAACTGTCACATGATTGAAGCGACGACAATTTGCATTTTATTTTCTATTTTCTTCCTTTTTTTTCACGCCATTTGCACTTTGTTATAGTAAACTCAACACATCCATCCATGCATGTTTGACAAACCACTAACCCCCATTGTCCCACCGGCAATGCTGTTGGAAGACCATAAGTGGAACCCACGCGAGTCTTGATCCTATGAGAGCACGGGTAAGCGCGAGAGTAAGGATTACACACGACTAAGAAGAGAAGGCCTTTTTTGATAAAGAATCCTTCCCGATGACGTGCTCGCTTGATACTGGTCGGCTGGGATGGGCCCCATGAACCTACGTCCATGGCATTCGACAATAAAGGTGAATTAAATACCCATTCTCTGTACCCGGCTTTTGATTGCAAGTTCCAAGCACGTATTTCTTTTCGCCAATCGAAGTGAAGGTACGTTACAGTGACAAATGTAAAACGTATGGTTAAAATGAAAACTTGGGGATTTACTTATTATTTATTTATTTAGAAAAGCCAATAAATCAAGTTTAATATCTTGGGTAACTAATCGGCGTCGCCGCCGTACCTGGTGTTGCTGGGGCAGAAGGTGACAGCGTAGCCGGCGGTCGCGGCGGTGGGGCAGGTGAACGTGGAGGTGGCATCGTCGTAGGCGTAGCTGTACGCCCGGGGGCATGCGTTCTTGAACAGCTGCGAGAACGCCGTTGGTCCGCAGGCGTTCGGGGTCCCGAACTCCCCGCTGCAGCAGTAGCGCTCCGTCCTGAACGCATCGCACGCGCTCCGGCACGCCACCACCTGCCCGCCCGCCCCCACCACCCTCAGCTCGGCCGGGCACAGCCCGTTGAGGTCCGCCGTGCACCCGGTGAGCGCGCAGCGGCCCGCGCCGACGGCCCCGCCCTGCGGCGCCACCAGCACCGGGAGGTTGTAGCCGTCCACGAGGCTGACGTCGTAGAAGTCCGTGTCTCTCGCGGCGGCGCCGCCGAGGGTGAACTCCCCGAGGGTGGCCGGGGGTTTCGCGCCGCTGCCGTTGCACTCGACCGCGCCGGAGCCGCAGTCACCGGTGGCGCAGGAGAAGCGGCCGGTGACGTCAGCAGAGCAGAGACTGCGGGCCCAGATGCGGCCGGACCACGGGACGGGGGCGTCCAGGCTGCGGGACTCGCCGGGGCCGAGGGCGAACCCAGTGGTGGCGAGAGGAGAGGAGCCAGCGTTGGAGAGGACGCCCGGCCAAACCGTGTACCCGCAGTTGTTGGTCACGGTAAACGTCGTCGACAGCACACCTAATGAACAAAAACCAAAACCATAAAGCTAAAGACCGAAGAAAGAGATCGAGCACATGGTGGAAGAGTACGAGAGATTACCTGAGGAGAAGGAGGAGGCGATGAGGAGGGCAAGGACAGGAAGGAGAGGGTGCATTCTGGAGTCTCTGCAGAGCTCTTGTTTGTTCTTCGAAGAGAGATCTGTAAGGGAAGAATCCAAGGATATGATAACGTTATTATTCCTGTTGTATCTGCTGCCTCTACAACGTTCGAGTGTTGCCTGCACGGAAAGACAGAAGACAGCAGCACATGAGAGAGAGAGAGAGAGAGAGAGAGAGAGAGAGAGAGAGAGCAGTATTATATGTATAGTCGATGGAAAGACAACTTGGGAAGGACGAACTCTCCTCGGCGTTGGTTTCTGATTCCGAGAAGAAAACAGAGAACGTGGAAAGAAAGGTTTCCCAAAATGAATTGGGAGAGAAGTCTCTGTTGCCACTGCTTTCCACATCAAGCACCGGAGGAAGAACACTCGCCGGCTTCGTCTCCGGTCAACTTCACTATGTGCATGTGAGATGAATGCAATGATGTCTTTGAATTTAAATTAGCGAATTATACAGTTTTTCCAAGCCAAAAAAAAAGAAGAAAAACTCTTAAGATAATTCTTAATGGAATGAAAGTCTATTTCCAGTCAGTGCCATATAAAATTCAGAAGAAAAAAAATCAAAATAAAATTCAGAAATACAACATAAATTATATAAGCAACTCATTGATAAATGAAATAAGATAATTTAATGACAAAAAATAAATAAAAAACCAATTCGATCAAATAAATCAAAATGCTAAGAAATCATGAATAATGGTATGAATTCATGAAATTTTATTTGTTAAACATGATTAAATCTTTTAAAAGTATGAACTCTCTTTAGACATTTTGGAGAATGTTCAGCAAATCTCAAATGGATACTGATTTCGAACGCAACATATCGTTATACTAATATTTTAAATTCTTTTGATCAATATCATTCTAACAACGAAATGACTGTATTTTACAAGCTCGAATGAGGAAAAAAAACTCAATGTAAATAAATAAGTTAAGTATCAAACAAAAAAAAGATGGATAGAACCTAAGTCAAATGCTTAAATTTAACTCAAGATATTATTAACTAATCATCATGCAACATGGGTATGGCAACCTAGATAGAAGAAAAAAACAAAAGCTCTTTTATCGATGTGCCCGCTTGGACATAGGTCGAAAGTAGATAGACATGTTTTATCTTTATGTTGTCGCCTTCGTGGGTAAGAGGCCAAATTGAAATTATTAAAGATGATTAAAATTTTCGTTTGAAGAATATTTCGTATAATATTTTATTTTTTATTATCAAGTATAAAAGCTTGCTTTTTAACATAATTAATATGTCACTTTTTATCATTAACAATTATACTTATTAATCTTGGATTACTAATTATTAGAGAAATCTAGGAGCGACATCACAAGACAACGAAAGAACAGAAACAAAGATCTTAGATTTTTACAAAATAGTTTCAATGTCGTGCAAAAATTAATACGCAAAAATCATAAAATAAAAAATCGCGCGTATATGAGAAATAAATTTTACCTAGGGAGATTGTATATAACTGAAATCATACAGATGAGAGAGGATAAAGGAAGTCAAGTGTCCTCCTCTCTAGTGATCTACATAGCAGAGCCTATGAATACGCTTCTTGAATCGTTGCCCAAATCTCCACATGCCCCAAATAAGGGTTGCTGGCTGAGAAGAGAATGGGAGAGGAGAATAAAAGATAGTTAAAAAGATATAGTCTATAGTCATTTGGTTTTCTCCTATTTATAGAGGCTAAATCTTAATGAATCATATCCTATTGGGTACTGAATCTCCATTCAACTACCCAAGCCTCTTAGATTAGTGGATCTCTACCAAATAATCTCTCATTGGCTCTTATTAGATCTCATCCATATGATCTAATAATTCATGGGCTTATTGGATATCCAATAAGATATGGACTTCAATGGATATCTCATATCCGAACCTCTACTCGTCACAACACTTACCCTATGTGTGTGACCATTTATGGATAATATCGAGCTGACTGTGAGTCATACCTATCAGAACTCCTTTTAATTCAGTGAATTATTATCTCTATAATAATTTACTCGACTCATCGACTATTGATGTACTAGGCCACTACGCCATAGTTCATCGACGATACATGAGAATTCAATCATTTAGATCTATTTGTCCTTAATTACTGTGCACTTATAGTCCCTCATCAATCTAATACCCTAGAGATCATATATCGGGCATAGTGCTATAAGGCTTATACGGTTTCTACTCGAGTCTCATTTTAATCAAATTCTCTCGGAGAATTCTTTATCTCTTAATCCAAATGACCCTTAACTAGGGATTTGTCTGAGCAAGAACACATGAGATATTCCTCTCATGACACTAAGGGCAGATGATCCTCTATCGATACTCAAAAGCCATCGTAAGGTTGGCTACCACTCTTGATAATTGACTGTACTAGATTTAAAACTTCTAGACCTATAAGTCAAGTATCAAAGAGCGAAGTACTCATACAGGATATCCTTGGTGTCTCAAGTTTAATGACCAAATACACCACTGGGATGACAAAATCACTGTATAACAATGATATATCATCAATCATCTAGCATTCCGTAAGCGGATTAATTAGTAAACTCATTCTCTAATTAGCAGTTGCACTATATCTCTATTGTCCCAACACGAGCATCTATGAGATCAGCCGCATCGACGTATATATAATATATGAGTATGTCCGGTTATTTTGATGTCCCTCTCGAGTAATCTATAATCGTGATTATTTAATGTTTGTGCTTAAAGACGAATCAGTCTCATAATCGTGATATTATCATGATCTGATTCTCATTGCACAGAGATATATATATATATATATATATATATATATATATATATATATATATATATATATATATATAAAAAGTAAAAAAAATTATAATAAATAATAATAAGCAAAAAAAAATGTATGTCGTAGAAACGCCTGTCCGTCAATCTTATCGATGAACGATCGAACGAAGTGATTTTACTCTCAATCCACAATACTTTACCATATATACACGAATATATATAATTTAATTATTAATTTTAATATATATTTATAATGAAAAATAATTTAAAATATTTTATATTAAACTCCTCATTTGTGACCCTTTTATTTGGTAACTTAAATCGCTATTATGTCAATAATGTAATTGGGATTCCATTGCAAGCAATTACCAACAGTTACAACACAATTTACTGCTTAATTAGTAGCGATCGAAAGAAACAGCATGACCATCCATCAGACATACATTGCGGGAGACACTTCAAGCGTACGACACAACACCATCACCACCCCATGCATGCATGCACACGTCTCCACCTCTCAGAAACCATAAAGCATCAAGTGACCAACCACGGCCGAGAAGAAGAGTACGACCGATCCCTCCTTCCCTGAGCTCCCGCTGTCGTAAGGAGTGTTGTCCACCAGCGGCTGCTCCGTCACCCCATGCAATCCATGTGGCTGCTGCTGCTGGCCGAATGCTCCGTTTATCGGATTCGTTGAAGGCAGCACCCCTGCTGCAAGGTCGTCGGCCCCACCCGTTGGTGCAACAACTGGCGGATGTGCCGGTGCCAGCGGCAGATCTCCGTTGCTATTCTCGTCTCCGCTTGCTGGTGCGACCAACGGCGCCGACGCCGGTGCCAGCGGCAGATCTCCGTTGCTATTCTCGTCCCCGCTTGCTGGCGCGACCAACGGCGCCGACGCCGGTGCCAGCGGCAGATCTCCGTTGCTATTCTCGTCTCCGCTTGCTGGTGCGACCAACGGCGCCGACGCCGGTGCCAATGGCAGAGCTCCGTTGGTTGGGTATGGCGTTGTCTGCTGCGGCTGCTGGCCGAATGGAGGGTTGTCGTCTCCACCAATTGGCCCGACAAACGGTGGCGCGCCGGATGGCAGCCCCGGGGAGCCTGGCAACCCACAGTGTTGATTCACTCTCGCGTCGTCGCTGGCCTTCCAGACCAACTCCCCGTCCTTGTCGATCACCCTCATGTCGCCGTGGTCGACCAGCTCCAACGTCGCCGGGAAGTTGTTGTGGCCGCTGGCTCCGGTGTCCCATACCGGGTTGCTCCCATCGAACAACGCGAGCCCGGCATCGCAGAACACGAGGCTGCACGCGTTCGCGCTGCTCACCGGCTCGCACTCCGACTCCCACACGCTGGCTCCGGAGGCTGCCTCCTGGATCTGGATGTAGCAGAAGTCGTTGCCCATGCCGCCGGCGCCCGGTGCGGTCTCGCGGCGGAGGAGGTAGCCGACGTACTTGCCCAAGGGAGAAGTCAGGAAGGGCTCGGTGTTCCCCGACGGGTTGGGAGGCACAGTGGCGAGGATCTGCTGCTTCGTCTCCCTCTGAATAGTGCCCAAGGGAGTGTGCACGGCGTTGGCGTCATCAGCCTGCGAAGGTGGGCAGAGGATGAGCGAAGAGATGCAGAGGAAGAGGAAGAAGGAAGCCATGAGTGCTTGGTCTGTGTTGGATGTGCGACCTCCGATGGATGAGACTGAAGGGTATTTGAAGGAACTCGAAGGGAAGGGCTGGTGCAACTCGCCACGAGGAAGAAGACATCGATGATGACCTAAAAGACAACCCTTGAAGGAAAGATCATGGAGTAGGGAGCTCAATGATCATTGTTTAGCCATGCAAGAGTTGGTAGATTGATGGACTTCGAAGGAAGCCACCTGGAAATCATCTTCTTTGCAGAGCAACCGTTCCAATATGTGGGGGGATTAGGAATGAGATGATCGATGACGCTTGTTCTATAGTCCACAACAATGTCAAACAATAAAATATTGAATTCTTGATCATTTTGGGAGAATTTATTTGATCCTTTTTGGTTGGACTAATCCATGATAGAACAGCTAATCCACCCATGCATTTAGGACTTAAGAAGGTGCTTAATTTATATCTTATTAATGAAATTTTAATTAAGCTAAACAACACATCCACCAAAATGCTTATAAAATCTATTTAAATAATTAAGATAAATAAATTTAAAACCTAATATAAAAACTCATATAAAAAATAAATACAGAAATTTCAACCTATGCCAATTATAATAATTTTTGAATAGAATTATAATATTTTTTTAAATATTATATAACCTATTCAGAAGCATTGTATATATATTATATTATTAAAACGTTAGAAGAAATCAACAATTATAGTATTTTTGAATAGGCTTATAGTGTTTTTAACACATCCACCAAAATGCTATAAAGTATATTTAAATAATTAAGATAAATAAATATAAAACCTAATAAAAAAACTCATATACAAAAATAAATAGAGAAATTTCAACCTATGTCAATTATAATATTTTTGAATAGAATTATAATATATTTTTTAAATATTATATAACCTATTCAGAAGCATTGCATATATATTATATTATTAAAACGTTAGAAGAAAGCAACAAAAGAAAAAAGTGAAAGATTTGTTTTCAGTTTTTGTTTTTGTTTTTCAGTTTTATGTTTATTTTTATCTCTGTAAAAGACGGCAGAGAAAAGACGCACTTCAACTCGGGCCCTCAAACCACGATCCAGGGGGCGAAACCTTCCTCCGCCACGCCGGTCATGTCCATGGAGCCACCGCTGTCGCCGCTCATCGCCGCGCAACTCAACCACCTCCTCGCCTACTCACCCCTATCGGTCAAGGTACTCTTTCCACTCCCAAACCCGATCCCCCTCTAAAGACCTCATCTTTTCTTTGATCCCATGGCGGTCTCCGTGTAGGTTGAGCAGATATGGGCGGGCTCCAGGAACGCCCGCTTCTCTGACCGCTTCACCCTCTCGATCCCCTTCTGCCTCGATTACGTCAAATGTGAGCACTGCCTCCCGTGATGATCAAACGCCGTGCATTTGAGTTTTCCTGTGCTTTTTCCCCTAAATTGGAGTTGGATTTCTTTCAGGCGATGTGATCTACGACGCACTCCACCCGTCCGTTGCGCCGGATGTCGTCTTTTCGTCGGAATACGACGACTTTGATCCCCTTGGCGATATTGCGAGTGAGGGGGAGGCGCGGGTGAGCAAGAGCAGCTTGTGTGATTGGAACAGTAAAGACCCTTCGAGGCTGATGGCTCTCGTCCATGAACTGAGGTTCTCGATTCTTCTTCTTTGAGGCGATTAATGCAGTCGTGTCTGCTTGTGGTTGCTTACTTGTTGTTCCGGAAATAGGGATCTGTACATGCATTACCAGAGGAGGAGGGTAGGAGAGCTTGATGATGCGAGGATAAAGTTTGAAATGAATACTATGCTTCCCAGGGAGGTAATTGATCCTATGTTTACAGTTTTCCAGTTTGGCACTTGCAAATGGATGTGCTCTCCACAAGATTATGTTATTCATCCGTAATAAAATCTAACGAGTATATGACATGGTCTATATCCCGGTTGTCATAAATGATTTTAACATAATTACGAAGCAATTACTGATGCTTTTAAAAACTGAAAGACAAACATTGGCATCTTGCCGTCTGCCATGTTCACAAGCACTTTAGTGACTATGACCTATTGAGTATTGGGTTATGACTGAGGACATGAAATAATCGGGTTGTAGGGCTAACTGCATGTGACAATGGAAACAGTGTCATCTTTCTTAATTTAACAATAATTGATTTTGCCACTTTAATTGGTAATTATAAGTTATAGTCTTGATTAAAGTCATATTAAGTGTTTTATGCGGCAATCATCTTTGAAAAAGAATAAACCTTTTTGTTTCTTCGGTGGTAATTATGTGTTCAATGTTTTGTCATGCATTTTATCCTTTTATGGAGCCAATATGATGAAGTATGTTTGATTTAGACAGACATTTGTGGTAGCACTTAAAAATAAAGTGCACTTAAGGTGACTGTATTCTGTGAATATACTGAACACACAAAAACAATTTTTCATTTATGCTGAAGGCCGTTCAATTTTACACCTGAAATATTCTAATCAAATGCGTCGAGTGTTCTGTTAATTGATCATTGGATTTTATTGACATAAATGATGGCCTATGTGTTTTTATTTTAAGATTCTCTATCCCATATATAACTGCAGTACCATCGTTCTGTCCGAATGTTCTGATGGAGCACATTACACTTTCTATGATGATAAATTCACAATTTTATACATTTGATTGTTAATTGGTTACGTTTATGATGGTATGCCCATTGTCTTGATTAACAATGTCATATGGTGTCCACAACTAGTTCGTGGCTGGAATGCATTACTATGTCTGTGCAATAGAGATTGATTAATCATTATTTCAAAGGATTTCTAGCCAGCCTTCATGGTTGTGGTAACTTTTAACTTAGATGTCATTATGCTGATTGTCATTGCTTGCACAATTGTAATTTGAATTTCACTTTGAAATATGGAATGATGATACAAGGTGAAGTACTCTTGTAGTGAACAAGCCCGATGAACTGTCGGATCTCATGACATTCACCTTTCTTTTGTTCTTTGTGGCATATATTTTCAGTACTTCTAGTGTTTTCTTTGTTTCTGGAACAACTTTGTCCCTTATTTTTCCTTTTATTTTTATTTGATTTTTCCTATAACCTGTTTGAGACTCAAAACTATTGTTGCTTATTCTACAGGGAATTGAAGTCTGTTTGGTTTCCTTACCTGACAGGGTAAGCTCCTTAAAAAACTCTGCCTGTTCTAGATTTCACATATTTTCAAATTTTGATGAAGGATCTATAGCTAATATTTTATTTCACTACTATAACTTGTGATCCATCCTCGTCTAGCTGGAGGAAGTGAAGTTTGCTGTACCTTTACTGGATATGGACTTAAACAAGCTAGTACCTGCATGCACCTGGAGACATCAGCAGAAGATCTACTTGCAGGTTCTGTTTGTTTGATGTCTTTTGCAAGTGGTACAATAATAATATTGACCATTTAGTACATTTAATTTTTGTTGAGTGAGGTTGTCTATGCAAGTATGTTAAATTAGGCTACTGTTGGACTATCCATGTATATTATTAACCAAGTAGTTGCAGAAAATAAGTGAAGCTTCAAGTTGAACTCTCTCATGCCTCCTTAAAAAATTATCATGGTTTTTGCTGACTACCTCTAAGAAGGTGTATCAGTTAGATTGTGAGTTCCACACAACTTGCGTAATCTTATAAGTATCAGGAGGAAAGAAAACAAATTAAGGATATGTATTTGCACAGATCTAGTATTCTTTGCCAGGGAGTGCCAGAATTGCCATGTATTTCTCTCGTGATTAATGGTGGTGCTGAATCATCTTTAAAAGATTGTAAGTCAGGGATCCTGTTTATTGAATACCATAGGGCCCAGAGCAAATGCCACAAATAAAACAATGTGTCATGTGGTTGCAACAATTTTGGAGAATGAAGCCTGATCATATTTATGAATGCTTACATTTATTATCTTGTGTACACTTTGACAACAATTTTAGGATATCATAAACTGCTACCAAATCTGATTATGAAGATTTGGTATGATTTTTCATATGTAATTAAGTGTAGATTGACATTCTTATTCCAAAGATGTCGTTTAATAATTGAGTTCTGTAGATGATGGTTCCTTGCTAGCTATTGTTATTACCAAGCCATCGAACCTAACAATTGAGGTCTAGCCGAATACTAGAACTTAATCATGGTTTGTCTATAAAAGGCACTTACGGAATACTGGTCTCAGCTATAAGTTTTTTGTTCAGGTTAGGCTGTCCAATGAGTTTTCTTATAGTGATGTAAGTTTGAGCTTGGTGCATCACTTGGCTAAGTCTCAAAATACTACTCAAGTTCTAAAGCATTCTATTTGAAGGAGCTCAAGGTTAGCTCTAAAGAGCCCAGCGTGTTTATGACTTTGATAGAACTGTGGTCAGTACATGCTCATCACTGTTAGTTGGTGCATCAAGTGAATTAGTTCATATGCTTGTCAATAATGAGATGATGTTTGATTTAGAGTTATATTTCTTTTGACTTTGTGATTTCCTATGAGAAGTCCTTGAAATATAACAAATTTTGGTTGATTAATCATGAACTCGCTCTTAGCTTCTTGTGATAGGTGCATTATGGGTGTTGCTGTGATTTTGATTATTTTTCAGCAATGTAAGTGTATGATGTAGTTGATACTAGAGATCCGTTTGTTGGTTGGTTTGTTTGTTTTTTTCTCCTTTATTTTCATTTCTTTTCTCTTTAAGCTAGTAAGTTATAGGAGGGAAAAAATTAGCAAGGTTGTGAAGGTAAAAGTCCCTGAGAAAGTATAACATACAGCAAATTATCTTGGAGAGTAGAACGACTTGTATCATTGACGGCTCGTATGAGCATCTGAACAGCCTATGCTTATGAGAACATTTTTTCTTAATCTAGATTATGTTCTAGCACGAGGTTACAAGCAGGAAGCCCCCATCGAGGCAGTCGATGATTATGGAAAGCTTGATATAAGGGATATTGGTTCCAGAAATTTGTGAGCACGGCATGTGCAGGCTGTCAGAAAGTAACTTTGCTTATAATCTGTGTGCATAGGATGAATAGGTAAATGACAAATTTGAGGAGCATCGGCAATTGGTTTGTTTTTTATTGGACACAGTGAAAGATGGAACAGAAGGAAAAAAAAGAGCTGCAGAAAAGATTTCCTGATACAATGGGTTAATGGCTTTGCTTAGGATGTCTATGTTAAGCTAAGCTACTTTTGTTTCAAGATTATAGTTGCAGGTAGTCTTTTATGCCACCATATTATGGGATAAACCTCAATGCAAACTTCCTGTATGATTCCTTTGTTGTCACATCTACTAAATCATGACCATAACGTAATTAGGAGCCTTAATCCAGTCATATAAGTTTCAAGTTCTACATTTGATTCATGGAATGATATTCTTATTTTAGGAATTTCATTTAGACTTTGGTCTACTGCATTGTGCAGATTATCTTTCCTGTTAGTAGAAGAAATTCTTCAGCTCCTGCTGCTCCACGGGTAAAACTGGTTTCTACTTCAGAAGTGAAGACCTTGTTCTCCGTAGAGGATGTCAAACTTCCACCATGGTTAGATGGAATGTAAGCCATCCTATATTCCATTAAGATTGGCGACACATATGATTCTGTTTTCTTCTAAATGTGTTTTATTAAATGTTATTACTAAAATCTGTTTTTTGCTTAAACTGGCTGCTTTGTTTAAAGGTGCTTGGCTGAATACCTTCCTGCTATAGAAGACAATCTCAAATTGCAGGTTAGTTGCTTTCCTTCCTAAATAAAAATTCAGCAGTAATTAATTGATGCATCAGAATTTACCTCTACAGTTCATGAAATGTTATATCTAACTTCACAGTGAACAAGAGACCTAATGTATATTCATTTAGGAAACTTTAGTATATCTTCATGTCCCAGAGTCTGGATGCAGGACTTTTCAAGATATAAGATTAGAAGTGCGCTGCATTAAAAGATAATATTTCATAATATCAATTATCTAGCAAGACATGGCTACATGTGCTTGATTAATGAACCCTTCTGCCTAGCTTATTAGTTAATTACTAGTTTTTGTATGTCTTATTTCTAATGTACTGGGTTCCTTTAAAAGGTTGTGGAGGCAATTGCATCAATTGGTGCTAGAAGACGTTTTATTGAGGCATTATCTCCTCTGTTTGGAAGGCCACTAGAAGCTGATCCGGTCTGCCCTTATACAGCACTGATGTGTAATCTTGTGTATTTTTTCAGAATCCATTATGATTTGTTTTTCAATCAGGTATTGTGCAGGAGAGCTACTGTGCTTTGTGCCTCTGGGGCTTTTACATTTTTGGTATGTTCAAGAATTGTTTATCTTCATTTTATGTAACAGGTGACTGGCATATCATGTGTAGTATCAGAGGCACATCAAACTAAGGTCAACATAAGTGTAACTTAGCTAATATAGTTCAGACTGGTCATCAGAAATTAGCATTATTTTCAAATGAACTTCTACTTCAAGTTGGTTTATGCATAATTGCATATAAAACATAATCCCCCTAAATCCACTTTGCTTACTATTCCCAGAAAGGGTGAAGCATGAATTAGGAACAGAATGTTTCTTGGTCTGATGAATTAAGACATGAATATATTGGCTGCATCTAGAAATTACAATCATATTTTGACCGGCATAAGGTGTGCTATATACATGCTGAAAATTTTCATCTTTTAAAATGAAATTCAATACTAGAGAGCACTCATAAAATCAGAACAAACTTCAGAAGTTTCAACCAAAGATATTGCTTTTGTTAGCCATCAAATTGACTATTTAATTCTTTTATTTACTTCATATGGTATCACATTTATGAAGTCCCCTTTGTCTTTATCCATCTTCTGCCTCATGTACTTCTGTAAGCTATCTCTAAGTCAACCATTGTTAAGTCCAGGTTTGCTTGAGTCTTTTTTTCCTTAGTTTATGCAGTTGTGCTGTCTTTGCTTATTCTTTTTTATCTGGCCTAGTTGATCGGTAATCAATAGTAATAAGTTTATCTCACATTTCATGCTCGTGCTACTTAATGTTTTATAACATGTTGAAGACATTCAGCTGAGGTTGCAGGTTTTTTGTTTCTAGGTTCACTTTTCAATTCCCACACAGTTCCCAAAGCAGCAACCGACATTGGTAATGCAAAGTTCTCAGGTATCTTTAGTGTTTAGATCATCTTCTTCCGGTTATAGTTCTTGAGCTCCTGTTAAAGCTACTTCACGAGGGCCTGATCTTTTAGTTAGGTCAAGCTTAAGTTTTTGAGAAAGTAGATTTCTGTTATATTCATGCATTCTACCTGTGTCATGAAACTGCATTTATCTACCTTGTATTCTTTTGCACATAAGATTTTTCACTTATACTAGTTTGATAAAAATTAAGAAGAAAATCATAATTCTTGAAGAGGACAAGATTGAAATGGATAGTGTTAATATTTTTGAGAGGCTGGATCTTGCAGTGGCAAATTGTTGGGAATGTGTGACTCATTTTATAGCCATGGTGTATGTTGAACTTTTGTACTGGAGAATCCCTACTGGGATTGTGTCAACTAGTGATCCTGCTCTGACATCCTTTCTTGCTCTGACTATAGCTTAAACATAGGGTATCAGCTTGCAGAGAGCTTCTAGATGGGACTTTTTGGAACACATTGTATTCATGTAATCATGATTTATGTATTTCCAATTTATTAAATAAGTTTGTAAGTGAAGTGGAGTATTTTCATATACTTTCTCTACGGAACACTTCTCAAAGTTATTTATTATTATGCATTAGATGATTGATATTCTGTAATCTGATCAACGTTCCGTCATGATATGCAGCATTTCAATTCTCAAGGCACACCAATATCCTCGCCGCTGATAAATGATTACCCTTGGAGTCCTAGATGGGATACACCACAGATGGCTGAGCGAATCTTGTAAGCATCGGCAGTGTCTAAATTTAGAAACTGTCTTGGAACATCTCTGATCGTATCGTATATGCAGTGAATTCTTGGTCGATGAGTGTTTGAACTTTAAAAAGTTCTGCATTGAAGCAATTCCTCAGTAAACCTGCATGACACTCGGTACAACCCTCATTTCCTCGAAGAATATGTTTTGCTTGTAAAGTCATTTTGTTTCTCCTCTTTTACATGGCTATGTATGATTAAATTTGCTTTTGGTGTAGAAAGCTGCCATTTGTTTCTTCCTAAGATGAACTTGAACCATGGGTCCATAACATGCATCAGGAAGAAATGGTCTCAGGAGAGCATTAGAACATCAAACACAGTGCCAAAGGTTGAGGTCTCAGATGCACATAATTGTAGCATGCAATGAATCCACTACCATGTAACAAACATCTACTCATCATTTCTGGCTTCCTAGAAATGTAACAATACTGTAATACTATCTTTGTGTGTGACATTAATTGATCTTTGATGAAAGATATTCTCTTTATCACATTAGGGCGGCCAATGTCGACTTCAATGACTTATGGCATTGGAGGAGGTGGTGCGCCGCGATAGCGATGATGACGAAGGTGGTGGCAGCTGCAGAGGTAGGTCGAGACAATCGTAAATTGTAAATCAAAGGACACGAAGGAGGGTTAGATCGAGAAAGAACTCGATTATATAAATATTTATAAATGCGATGTCATAGAAAAGATATTAAAAAAAAAAAAAAGATACAAATTATTTTATTAAGAAAAAGCATGTTGTTTAATCTAACACCAGTGTAAATATTTATTTATATATATAATGCTAAACTAATAAAGAGTTTTTTTTAATAAAAATAAGATATTTTATCGAAAAAAAATCTCACTATTAGGAAAATTTAAGATTTTTATATAAAATGAGTGGGAGTTGAATAAACTATACTCGAAATTAAAATAAGTTATATTTAATTACATAATATATTCAAAAAAAATTAATTTCGATAATTAATTATTATATTTTTAAAAATAATATTAATAATCTTACAATCATGTCCTAATAATTAATTCTATGGAAGTTTGGTTTGGTTTAGCATAAGCTAATAAATTTACGTTCGTAATTGAATTTAAATTATATGTGATTAAAAAAATTCTAAGTTTTGATGGTTAATTATTATATATTCTTAAAAAATAATAATATTATTAATCATCTAAGAAATATTTCTAATTGTTCTATAAAAGTTGACTTGATTATATACTTGAAATTAAACTAATTACATCTATCCGAGAAATCTTTAATTATAATTAAATTTGAATCATGAAATTTTTTATTATTTATAAAAAAATCTCATGTAAAAATGAATATTTTTTTTATAAAATACCCATAAAGATACTAAAAATGAAAATTATTTTTTTTATGTATGAGAAATAGGAAAAAGTAATATCTTCCACTATTTCCATTTGTCCATATGAGCCAGCAGACGCCACCATTCTTATCCATTCTTCCTTTCTCTCTATCTTTTAGTCCCTCGTGCCGTCGCCGTCGCCGTCGCCGCCACCGTATAATCGCGTCGTTTGATTACATGTCTCTGACAGAGGAGGAGCTGGAGGTGGCGGTCACGCTCGACAGCCTCCCCGAGCTCGTCCTCGCGTCCGTCCACCGGGCGGCGCTCCACGTCCTTCCCGAGTCCCTCCGCTGGGGCTCCCGGAAGCCCCGGTCACTCCCCGGTCATCCTCTAATGCCTTCTCCTCCTCCGCCGCTCCGTTACGGGGAGAAGAACGTCGACGGGGGAGTCACCGCCACCGCCACATCGAGCCCCTCTACGCCTCTCTCCTTCCAAGGCAGCGGCGGCAGCGAAGACATCGACGTCCGGCCCAAGCCGTGGGTGGAGCACAGCAAACAGTACATCCAAGTAAGTGTACCGTCAGCCTCTCTCTCTCTCTCTCTCTCTCTAGCCAGCTAAGATTTTTATTGTATTTGATGCTTGCGGTGAGCAGTGGATGGAAGAACAGCATGAGCCGATGGCTTCGTTTGCCGACAAGAAAGCCAATCTCGAACGAGTGTGTTCTTTTCTTTCTTTTCTTCTCTTTTGCCATTTTATTATCTATATTTTCTCTCGATTCCTTTTATTTCAACTTAATTGTATATATATATATATATATATATGTAGATGTATATTCTTAATGATAAGATGAATCAGGTGAGAGAGGAGTACGAAGCCCACTTGCATAGTCCATCAGCCAACCCCTCCGTGCTTCCAGCAGCTGCACAACTGCGCCATGTAATCAATCTACTACTCCTTCTCTTCTCTTCTTCTTTAAGATTGTGCGCCGAAGAGTGAAACAAATGTCTCGGCGGCAGGAAAAGATGCTATGGGTCGGTGGCGGCGATATGGTCGCCGTGGACCGCACAGCCGTGGACCACCGGTGGGCCGAGAGCGGCAGCCAACGGCCGGCCGCGGGTCGGGTCGGCCTCCCGGATCTGAACGTGACGCCCGACGACGAGGAGGGCGGGTGGGATTTGGTGTGGGGGTGGGGGGAACGGCAACACAGCGCGTGCAAAGCGGCCATGTCGGCACTGGCGAGACGGAGGAGACTTCAGATACAAAAGGCGAAGAGATACGGTCTGGTTTATGACCAATAAAATGCCAAAGATTAAGCATTTTCTTCAATTTGGTTAGTGGGGATTTCTTTTTGTTTTTTATTGACGTCAATGTTAAGCCATTTGCTCACTAAAATATTTTTTTTTTCCTATTGATTAAAAATAATATTTTATGAAAAATATTACAGTAAGTGAAGAAGGCTAAAACAACTGTTAATTGGAATTCAAAAGACAAGTGATGCATTCATAATACTTAATATCAAGGAGTATGGTACCTAACATTCAAAAGGAACATTATGATATGTAACCTTGAGAGAATGAATTATGGTGTGTACCTAACATTAAAAAAAAAATCTAGTATGCAATTGAGTATCGAATAATCTATTCCAAAGAAAAAAAAACCCCACCAACCGTTCCTTTGGCCTCCTCTTTCATCTCAAACCAAAAGCATAGTACAAAGGGAAAAAGCCGGATGTGATAAGTCTACAAAATATGAAGCTAGGAGGTTGAAAGTCTTGTTACAGAAAAGAAGTCAACCCAACGTCAACCGTAAAACATCCTCAAGAAACTATTTACTTGCTGCATACAGTCAGCTAACGTGCAATTTCTACCCACATTAGTGTCTATATGTAAGACTTCTTCATAACTCAACGTGTCACAGGTGAGAATCCCTAACTGCTGCAGGCCTCGCATAAGAGAGGAGGCATTTCGGTATGCTCAGACAAATAATTCAGTTTAAGTTGATGATTCAATCTGACTGTGCGTGGAAGATCACACTACACCCGACGGAAGCCGTAGCACCAGCTGTCCACCGACAACACTGCAGGAGGAAGAGTGAGAACAAGTTTTGTATCAACGGCCATATAGGTGCGTGTTCGTGGAAAGAATCTTCGTTACCTCTTCACATAATAATAGCAGAAATCAGCGAGAATGAAAGTTTGAACGATCTCGGCAAGAAGAACCATTGGTGGCCACAAACCATACCCTAAAGCTGTCAACAGTCGTCCATGAGTGTCCAGGACCTACAAGAAACACCGAGAAGGAAATGCATCATGCGACATGCCTGCTATAGCAGGAGACCATGTTTCCAGAGGTTCTGTTATTTCTTATTTACATCTGTTTCATTAACTACATATTTTTTACTTCCTATACCTTCTTATACAAACCATTTAAAATTTAAGACCCCAAAAGAACACCATAATTGCCTGATGCCAGACACTTGAATACAATTTAATTTTCCATGTTTTTCTTATTAAGTTTTACTTGATTCTTCTTCATATTATTTTCTCACTCAAAGATAATCACAAGACAATCAGGAAGAAAATAATTGTGGAATAGTCAAAATAGCATAAATTGGATTGGATTTCGAGAAAAACAAAGGTTTCAACCAACATCTACAGTAAGATAATGCAACAGCTGGTTCTCCATGAGTTTTGTGTCCAATCCATCATGTTCACCTCAAAGAAGCAAATAATGTTACTAGGCTAGATCTAACAAAGTAGAACTCATTGCACAGTTCTGTGGCTGCATATAATCAGACCTATCGTGTGTCATGCAAATGGTTGGCATAAATATTGTGATGCATTGTGTACATCGCAAACTTCTGACTGTAAATACAATTAATAGAAACGATGACCTTGAAGATATATAGAAGATAAGAAGAGAGGAAAGATTTAAAATGGTACCAAATATTAGTCATGTGGAATGAAATAAAATATTAACACTAATATTAGTCATGGTGTGAAACATCAACATAAACAAATTGACAAGCAGGACAAGCCATGAGCATATAAATATGACCTCCACATCAAAACCAAGAAAATATAGATAGATATGCCTTTCGAGCTGACAACACAAAAATGGTGTGTTTGGTTGGGGCTGCACTAACAAGGTTTAAAGAAAGAACAAGAGTCAATGTAAAATCTAATTTTTAAATATTCAAAATTGAAGCTCAATAGGAAACTCATGTGCAATGATGCTGAGGCCTCAAGAGATCCAAAACTTATGCAGAAATAGTAAGACATGTTTTCAATAATATGTGACTCTATATCAACAAATTATGACTATAAATGAAGAACCCGTATCCTACAAAGTTCTAGCCTTCAACAGTATGAAAAAAAAAAATTATATCATGCTTATGCTTAAGAAGTCACTCTACTGTAAATACATCAGTGGTACATTAGTCATACAAATCCATAAAACCTAGTCAGAATGCAGAGTTTCATACTAAACCAACCTGAAGGACCCAGTGAGCGCAACTCAGAAATCTTGCAATCCCAAGAGCAAAAACATAGTGAGCGGTGAACGGTTCGACAATCTGGGGATCATGTATGAAGATACAATTAGAAACTTTTTCTTTAAAAATTTACAAGGTTCTTTGATTCCAGGTTGTACCTTCGTGTTCTGCATCAATCGTAACTGGGGCAACACCGAAACAGCTTCCAGATAAACACAAAAGGCCCAACAGATCCTATTGAAAATATTGTGAGATGTAGAAGGATGAACAACAAGCGCTAACAGCACACAAGGCACAACCTGCAATCATATAAAGAGAGGTGAGATCCATTCATGATCTTATGAATAAAAAACAAGTTTTTTTATCACGGATAATTCTTTAAAGACCAGCAAAGAGACATGAATTTTCTTAAGAACTTCAAATGCGAAGAAACTTTGTAGCCATAATAGTAAAAAAGAAGCTGCCAAAAACCCAAAGATATAATAATAAAGAAAATAGTAGTAACGATATAAATAAAAGCAACAAGCATCCTTTTCCTTGACATGAATCTTTTGGCAATAACACAGTGCTGAATAAGCATTTTCTAAGTAAAGGAAAAAAAAACACTGAAAAACAAATTCCAAGCTCTATACAATATTTTTTTCATTACAGGTACAAAATAGTCCAAGTAATAAAATAAAACTATTACTTTGTCCCAAAAAAGAAACCAAATTTCTAAAGGGTTTATCATGGATATAAAGGTTTTTTTATATAATACATGAGATGTCTTACCACAAAATATATAGCAAAATTGTCCTTATCCTCCATGTAACTTGGCCTCAGCTTAAAACGAATCATGTAAATAACCCAAAGAGTAGTAGCAAGTGTAGCAGTATCTAGCACTGTGTGTATATCGTATTCCATAACAAAACTGCAATAAAGTCTGGCAGCTAAAAACAAAGCTGTCAAATCCTGAGACTTCAACGAAAGCCCTGCATATTATAAAATTGTTAATGAAAGATAATTGGATCCACGAAATAAGTGCAATTTCTATAAACTTAGCATTAGGCAACATGAATTACAAAGCAACCAAAATCTGGTGACCTATTAAACCAGTTCAATATATAGGTAACAGAAATGTATTCTCGAAACGATCTTGATAAAATCAAATACTTAGAGATAAATGAGTAACAAATTGTAAGGTTAGAATATCTATCACATAGCTTAAGTGCTGCTCTAAGGCAGAATGTTCTGGATTCCCAATAAAAGGGCTTAATTGTCAATTCACTTCAAATACAAACTTGAAACTCCTCCTCAGACAGGAATCGTATAATTATATCAGAAATTTGGTGCAAATGAAAAAAAACATTAAAAAAGGTCCACCAGCATCATATAAGGTTAACATTTTTCCTCGTGGATCTTTACATAATTTCATCATCTTGCACATACTTGTAAAAGATAATTTTGCAATAATAATCAACAATGAGAATAGCTAGATAATGTAAAAGTACCAATAAAGCAACATGGATTATTCGATAGAAATTTGATAAACTTAAAATGTAGAACAACAAGATCAACATTAAGCAAATGCACTATTCAAAACAGGGGGAAAAAAACTTCTTTCAATTTCTTCCCTTAGAAAACCTATTCTGCAAGTTTCAAGCTAGTAATTCCCATAAGCAAAACTCTTGAGCCTTGCAATTAACTCAAAATTCTGAAACTATCAATGATATAATACTCTCCTTCGAACTTCCATGCCACAAACCTAGCATCGACAAACTCCCAAATCAGGGTCCTAGTCGAAACCAAAACCCTCTCCAGCCCCGGATTACCTCAAAGGGGGGAAAATATATTTTTAGCCATGCCATCTAGGGCATCCATTATTTAAATCCCGAAGCCTTGGCAAGTGGCATTCTTACCGCCCCATCCACCAACAGATCACGTATGCAGTAGATCAAAACAAAACAAAACAAAACAAAGCAGCACGGGCAAAGAAAATGAAATGAAAAGGGGAAAGAGAAGGCGGGCACCAGCGCATGTCCTCTCCTTGGTAAGCTTATAGATGAGAACAGAGATGCCGAGGGCGTGGACGGCCTCGGCGGCGATGAAGAGGTTGTCGTGGTCGTGAACGATGAAGCGGAGGAAGACGAGGGCCGCGATGCCCGCCACCACGCACAGGAACGCCTTCACTTTGGGCGGCTGCCGCTTCACCCATGTCGCCACCGCGTAGATCGGCCGCCTCGCCCCCCTCATCGCACGCCTTCCCTCGCAGCGATCCGCTCCTCCCTGCTCGAATCCAGGAATTAAAGAGGGCACAGAAATCGAGTCGCTTCTTCGTCTCCTTTCACCGTCACAACGGAGCTCTAATAAAAGGGGGCCAAAGGGGTTTGGCTCATCAAATACATTACCATCACTTCACCCGCTGCCAATTACCGCTCACCTACCCGCCTTTTGGTTGCAGGAAACGACTGCCTAAATGCGGGCCCCGTGTGGAGCCACTGTGTCGCGTAGTCGTTAGATATGGGACGTGCTGCGTTTAGTGTCCGCCAACTGTTCGAGATAAAGCCTGAGACAATAGCTTAACCGGGGCCAGAAGCTCATCTCACGACCTTCTCTCTCGTTCTTAATACTGCATGTTGCCGAGCGTTGATGGCTTTTCATGGTGGCAGTTGTAAGCGCCCACAGCACCGCCGTAGTCCGTTGACTAAGATTGCAACTCATTTCTCATTTTTATTTTTCATTAGAATCTAATCAATTTGTTTGATTGTGATGTATTTGATTTCTTTATATATAATAAATTTTTGGATGATGAGGAACCTTATGCCATAGTCAATAGATCAACACGACTTGGTTCGATCCCAAGTGTGCAAAGTCATCCACGTGGATGATCGAATGAAGGTGGTCAGCGTTAGGTTCGGTCCGAGCTTCGTCTCAATAATTGATCCGAAGTAGAGCAAGGAGTTGCTCTTCCTCCCCCGTCAAGTTCTTGCACACAAGTCGAAGTCGATAGGGGAATTTCTCGACTCGACCCCTTCGAAGCATAAGTCAGTGTTGAGTGGGATTAAGTAGAGTTGAAGTGTTCGAGGTCCTCCTCTTGACGTCGATCAGGGGGTCGATTTTTATACCTGCGAATGAGGGTCGGTCGTACGTGATCTGTTAATGGTTGCTAACTTCTCGAGCGATCGGCTTATACCTCCTATGCGAGCGTCGATCAACCTGCACGAATATGCATCGCACGATGTCGTTTCGAGCTTTTCGGAGCGGCTTTGTGCTATGCAGCGTTGTCTCGTACAACCTCGAATAATGCAGGAACGTGCTACCATCCCATTTAAGTTTGAGGTGTCATGTCGATGTAATGCACCATATCAGCCCTGAGGTTCTACGTTGGCGTTGACATGATCACTAATTGTTGTCACGAGGGTGGTACAAGAATATGTCATATCATTTCCCATCTCGCCCCCGCCCCCCCCCCAAGAGGCATGCCCCAGGTTCCTAATGGAGGAGCTCGGGGCATGACTTGGTGCCTTTTTCTAGCTGGGTTAGCTATCATGTTGGGATTAGTGGTTTGGTTATCGGTTGACTAGGAGCTTCTATTCGGGAGCTGTACTAGTCAAGCGACATAACTTGGGGACTAGGCTGGCCGAGTAACACTACTCAGGTGCAGGATTGGCCGAGCAATACTACTCGTGCACTAACTTGGTCGAGCACACTGCTCAAGCACTAGGTACTAGACTGGCCGAGCAACACTACTCGGGCACTAAGCATTGGACTGGCCAAGCGACGTGACTCGAGCACTAGGTTAGCCGAGCAACACTACTCGGGCATAGGACTGGCTGCAAGGCATGGTTCAGACATTAGATTGGCCGAGATACGACTCGAACATTAGACTGGCCACGAGACATGGCTCAGGCATTGGATTAGCCGAGACGTGACTCAGACATTGGACTAGTCGTGAGGAGTGGCTCGGGCATTAGATTGACCGAGTGGTGACTTAGACATTGGACTGGCAAAAGGCATAGCTCAGGCATTGGATTGGTCGAGACATGACTCGAACATTAGACTGGCCACGAGGAGTGGCTCGAGCATTGAACTGACCAAGATGCGACTCGGATATTGGACTGGTCGTGAGGCATAGCTAGGGCATTGGACTGGCCGAGACGTGACTCAGACATTGTTTGGCCGAGGTGCATAACACAGGCATTGTTTAGTCAAGGTGTATAACTCGAACACTATTTGTGCTAGACATAGGTGCCCTATAAGCCAATCACGTGAGTGATGACACGTGTGATTTGACACCAATCTTTTTACTTATTATTATTATTTGAGAAACCGATGATGAGATCACGATAATGAGACCGATTCGCCTTTTAACACGGATCATAAATATTCGTGGTCATAGGTTACTCGAGAGGGACATCGAGATAACCGAACAAGCTGATGTGTTGTATACATGTTCATATGATGGATATAGTTGGTCTCATAGTTGCTCGTGTGGGGACACTAGGGATACAGTACAGGAGCTCATTGGAGAATGAATTCGTTGATTGATCCGCTTATAGGATGCTGGATGGTTGATGATGTCTTATTGTCAGACAGCGATTCTGTTATCCCGGTGGTGTATCTCGTCCTTAGATTTAAGACACAAAGGATGTCCTATATAAGTACTTCATTCTTTGATACCAAACTTATAGGTCTGAAGGTTCCAAATCAAGCACAGTTGGTCATCGGGAGTGGTAGCTAACCTTACGAGGACTATTGAGTGTCGATAGAGGATCATCCACTCTCGATGTTATGACAGGAATATTCAATGTATTCTTGCTCAGACAAACCCTTGGCCAAGGTCATTCGGATTGAGAGAGAAAGAGTTTTCGAGGAGAATCCAATTAGAGCGAGACTTGAGTAAAAATCGTATGAGTTTGATAGTACCATGCTCGGTATACGGTCTATGGGAGATTAGATGGATGAGGGACTATAGGTATACGGCAATTGAAGGAAGATATGTCCAATGGATTGAATTCCTCTGTATCGTTTGGGGACTACGGCGTAGTAGCTTAGTACGTTCGCAGTCGATGAGTCGAGTGAATTATTATAGAGATAATAATTCACTGAGCCAGAAGGAGTTATGATAGGTATAACTTACGTCCAGCTCGATATTGGGCCTAGAAGGTCACACACATATGATAGGCGATGCAATGAGTAGAGGTTTAAATATGAGATATCCGTCAGAGCTCTTATCTTATTGGATATCCAATAAGCCTCTGAATTATTGGATCATATGGATGAGATCTAATAAGAGCCAATGTGAGATTATTAGATAGAGATTCACTAATCTAAGAGGCTTTGGTAGTTGGATGGAGATCCAATACCCAATAAGGTAGGATCCATTAGGATTAAGTTTACAAGGGATCTCTATAAATAGGAGGGAACAAATGGTTCATAGGCTAGAGCCTTTTTGGTTGTCTTCTCCTATTCTCCTCCCCTTCTCCTTCTCAGAGTAGGCCTAGAGTTTTGAAGAGTAGGGTGTTTGACCTCCTTCACTCTCTCATAGAGATCTATAGGGATTAAGGGATATACAATCTCTCTATGTAACACAATCTTTAATATACGCAGTTTTCTATTTCATGGATTTTGCGCATCAGTCTTTGCATGACGACAAACGCATCTTTGGGAATTAGGGATTTTGTTTTTATATTCTTTCGCTATGCATGTGACGTCGCCCCCTAGATTTGCCAATAATTTGGGCGAGGTGCACAACTCGGGCACTGTTTGACCGAGGTGCATAATTCGAACACTGTTTGGCCGAGGTGCATAACTCGGACACTGTTTGGTCGAGGTGCACAACTCGAACACTATTTGGCTAAGATGCACCACTATTTGACTCGAACACTATTTGGCCGAGGTGTATAGCTCGGGCATTGTTTGGCCGAGGTGCATGACTCGAGCACTGTTTGACCAAGGTGCACGACTCGGACATTGTTTGGTCGAGGTGCACTACTCGGGCACTATTTGGTCGAGGTGCACTACTCGGGCACTATTTGGTAGAGGTGCACAACTTGGATACTATTTGACTGAGGTGCACAACTCGGACATTGTTTAGCTGAAGTGCATGACTCGAGCATTGTTTGGCCAAGGTGCACCACTTGAACACTATTTGGTTGAGGTGCACCACTCATACACTGTTTGGCCGAGGTGCATGACTACGACACTATTTGGCCTAGGTGCATGACTACGATACTATTTGGCCAAGGTGCATGACTCGGGCAATATTTGGTCGAGGTGCATGACTCGAGCACTATTTGTCCGAGGTGCATGACTCGGGCATTGTTTAGCCAAGGTGCATCACTCGGACATTGTTTGGCCAAAGTGCACCACTCGGGCACTGTTTGGTCGAGGTGTACAACTCTGGCACTGTTTGGTCGAGATACACAACTCAGACACTATTTGACCAAGGTGCATGACTCGGGCATTGTTTGGTCGACATGCATCATTCGAGCTGTGTTTTGCTGAGGTGCACACTCGAGTACTATTTGGCCAAGATTCATATCTCAAGCACATGTCTAGTCGAGATTTATAACTCGGGTGCATGCTCCGTTGTAGCAGATCCCTTTTATATATATATATGCACACCTTAGGCTTATCTACTTCCGGCCTTGCCATGGTGGGCCTTCTTCTTTCCTCAATCTGCTCACATGGGTAACTCCTAGCAGGGCCTCTTGTGTGACTCCTCGCGCTTTCTTGCTACCAGTGCCTTAACAGCAACATACTGGTTAGCCCATTGGAGCATCTCAGGAATGGTCGCCCGTGACCTCTCGACTAGTGACCAAAAGAACCTTGAAGGTTGTAGGCCCATCAAGAATGCTTGCATAACAAAAAAGGGGTGGGTATTTGGAACCCCTCGAATCTCAGTAGCGAAGTTAGCATCGAAGAGGCAGAGGGATTCGTCCTCCTTCTACCTTAGCCCGAGTAGTATGGTCGTAGATGGTTTAGGTCATGCATAGGCTAGGAAATGAAGCTCGAGTTCCCGTGCAAGCTGATTAAAAGACAGGACCAAGGATAGCCTCAATCGGTTGTACCACATCCAAGCTGGGCCTTGGAGGATGGTAGGAAATGCCCAATACATCAAGGCGTTAGAGGTGTTGTGTAGGGCCATCTAGGCCCGAAAGGTGGTGATGTGCTCCGCTGGATCGGAGCCACTATCATAGGCCTCCAGCATCGAGAGGTGAAAGTTGAGGGGGATAGGCTTATCCTAAATTTCTTGGGCAAAGGGGAACCCAACCGAGGTACTTTCCCCGAGCTCCTCCTTAGATTTATGGAATTCCCTTTGAACCTCATCTAGGTGCTGATTCACTAATCGTAATTGGGCCCGAAATGAGTCATCCATTGAGTCAAACGATAGGATATTAGCTTCAGGGAAGGTTAAGGCAGCTCATTTGGGCATAGGGACGTTGCACTCTACCGTTGGTCTCGGGTATCCCGATTGCTCCCAGTTGAGGGGTGGGCATATGGAGCCAGAGCTGGCTGGTAGATCGGGGTGGCATTGTGAGGTGTAGGGATGAGCACAGGTTGGATCACAGTCGATGGTCATGGGAGGAGAACCGTCTGCTGAGCTAGCTAGGGTATGAGGGGTGCGATGATCTGCATCATCCCAGCTAACGCTTGCACCTAGTGGGTGAGGTTGAGGAATGCCTCAGCGAAGATGACCGATTGCCCCGCACCAGCCCCGGGAGGTAAGAGCTCGGGATCATTGAACAAATGTCAATAGTACCTTGGAGTCTGAGCCGAGATGCTTCTATCTATATGTGGGAGAGTGGGGAGCTGCCCTCCGAGGTCGAAGGTGGAGATTGTGGTGAGTGTCTTCTCGCCAAGGCGTTCGTTGGAGTTGTTTGGTGGTGGATGCTCTTATGACATCAGGCCCTCCTTCTAGTGTCAAAAATATTGGGAAACCTTATATCGTAGCCAATGAATCAACATGGGCTTGGTCCAATCCCAAGTGCGTAGAGTTGCCCACGTGGATCCTCAAACGGAGGTGATTATTATCAGGTTCGGTCTGAGCTTCATGTCCAGAATTGATCCAAGGTAGAGCAAGGAGTTGCTCTTCCTCCCTCACTAAGTTCATGCACACAGGCCGAAGTCAAGAGGGGAATTTTTCGACTCGACCCCTCCAAAGCATAAGTTAGTATTGAGTGAGGTTAAGTGGAGTTGAAGTGTTCGAGGTCCTCCCCCAAATGTCAATCATGGGTTGGCTTTTATACCTGTGAATGAGGGCTGATCATACGTGATCTATTAATGACGGTCGACTCCTCAGGCGAGTGACTTGTACCTCTTGTGCAAGCACCGACCAACCTACATGGATCCATGTCGCGCGGTGCCATTCCGAGCTTTCCGGAGTGGCTTTGTGCTATGTAGCATCATTATCTCGTACGGTCTCGGATAATGTCTCATCCAAGTCCGAGGTGTCACGTCGACACAATGCACCATATCAACCCTGAGACTCCATGTTGGTATTGATGTGGCTATTGACTGTTGCCGCCGGGGTAGTACCAGAATATGCCCTATCACTATTATGATAAATATTTAAGAAAAATATTTATCTATTTATTTGATCAAATAGGAGAAGAGGTCACTGTTTATTATCTTGCTTATTCAAGGATGAACATGAGAAGGGGTCCATTCAGAAGATTGTGACACTAGGGCCCATTCAGAATGTCAAGGTTCATTCTGATATGGTATTTTTTAGCACCATCCACGTGGCAACAGTCAACGACCATGACAATGCTAACAAAGGAGCTTTAGGCTAACATAACGTAACACCTCGAACCCTAAGAGGCTGACCACAAGCCCTCGCACTGTTTGAGGGTCGTACAACTCGGCGTCAAACACTACAAAGCCATTCCAGAAAGCTCAGAATGGCTCCACACAATGTGGGCCCATATAGGTTGACGTCGAATACTACAGAGTTGTTCCAGAAAGCTCAAAACTGTGCCACACGACATGGGTTCATATAGGTCAGTCGACGCCTGTCCGTGAGGTATAAGCTAGCTGCCCGAGAAGTCAGCAACCATTAACGTACCGTATACATCCGACCTCTTTTTGCAGATATAAAAGCCAACTCCCCGACCAATGTCAAGGGGAAAGACTTCGAGCATTCAACTCCCTCTTATTCCACTCAATACTAACTTAAACTTCGGAGGAGTCGAGTCGGGAAATCCCCCTCCCGACCTCAGCCTATGTGTAGGAGCCTGACAAAGAAGCAGGTCGCCCGCTAAGGGAGAAAACCCCACTCGAGGGATAAGGCTCAAATTCAACTTGACCCAACACTCACTTCCACCACCTGAGCATCAATGTGAGCAATCTCACGCATCTGAGATCGAACCGAGCCGTGCTAACACCTCACGTAAAGGTTCTCTAACACATTCCATGCCAATGTAGATTAGTATTGCATTGCTAAAGCATGAAACGTAGGAGTGTCTTATATATAGTGAATCTAAAATTTTCTTAAATAATCATATTAATCTATTTAATTTATAGTGGTTAAAGATTAAACATGCCATGTACCAAATGGCCGCGTGCCAACCGAATTGAGTTGGTGCGGTTGATTCAGGTGTCCCACAACGATCACGGCCGCTCATCTTCTCAGCAACCCGCCTTGATCATTCCATTTGAACGGCTGATGATCTCGCCCACCGCGCTCTGTTCATCACGTCCGTCCATTCTCTACGACCTCGCCAACTCTCCAGATTGGGAATCTTGACGTAGGATTTCGGCTGCGGAGTGAGAGCGATGTAGACAGCGACGACATCATCGTCGTCATCTCTCTCTCTCGTTTCGATCCTCTTCGAATAAATACCACCCCATTCCCCCTGAATCATCTCCCAAGTCTGCGCCGGCGATCTTATTTCCTTGTCAAAGGTTCGACCTTTTCTCCTCTTCGTTTCGTTGACTTTCTCGCTTGTAATCGCTTGCTTTAGAGCTCTGTTGATGAACTCGTGTGGTCTGCAGGGCGAGATGGTGCTTCCGATTTCTATTTAGTTCGCGTTGTCGTATGGAGTTGTGCCAGAGGTTTTTGATCGGATAAAGAGGGATAAATTTCTCTCCTTGTGGTCAAGCTTTTCCAAATCCTTCCTTTTATACGATGGTTTTCCTTGTGGATTATAAATAGTTGATCTGCTACTTAGATTTTAATTGGTAATGTTGCAGCCTTTTGTATGAACTTGTGGAGAGTGATCAGTAAGAAACGGTTGTGGATCATCCATCATGATGGGTTTATTTGTCAGTAGAGCTTTGATGTAAGCATTCATGATCTTAATGCTCTGGGTTGTTGGTTTTGTTCGCTGAGAGAACTGTGATGTGATTCGCAGACTGGTTCTTGGGTATGCTTACCCGGCCTATTTGTGCTATAAGACTGTGGAATTGAACAAACCAGGAATTGAGCAGTTGCGTTTCTGGTGCCAGTATTGGTCAGTCCATCTGCTCAACTTTCTTCTCTATGTCTGGCAAAGATGGCTTGCATTTTGATTCTTTTGCAGGATTGTAGTCGCATTGATGGCAATCTTGGAGAGATTTGGGGATCTTTTCTTTTCATGGTAAGCAAGTTTTTTAGCTTTTTATTAATGATATTTTCTAGATGCTTGTCATCAGTTCTATTCTTGCCGGTTTGTGTTCTTATTTCCTTGTATCTTTTGAAGGTTTCCAATGTACTGCGAGGCAAAACTGGCATTTTATATATATCTATGGTATCCAAAGACAAGAGTATGACATTCTTTACTTCAACTTACTTGCAAGTTAATTTCTTTGATGTCCACCCTGACTGAATCTTGTTTTCCTATGCTAATCATATAAATATAATTTTTTTCAGGGAACAACATATGTCTATGAAACTTACTTCAGGCCATATATCGCGAGGCATGAAACTGACATCGATCGTAATTTGCTTGAGTTAAGAGCAAGAGCTGCAGATTTCATGTCGATGTATTGGCAGAAGGCTACTAGCTATGGCCAGACAAGTTTTATTGAGATTTTGAACCATGCTACCTTATTGATACAAGCACCAAGAACACGTACTTTCCAGGTATGGTTGATTAGGACAATGCGGTCCTTGATGTCTTCAATTATAGCTTTTTCTTGCTGTAGGTCTATGATGAGGTTTTCCTTTTATAGGTGCCAACAATTTTCTCTTTCTGCATAGATATTGAGCATGAATTTTGATGGCTGTGGATTATTTCTTGAGGATCTGTACTTGTCCTGAAAATAATTGCATCAAATTATTAGATCTTTGACAGGTTTAACTCATTTAAAATTACCTTGTTCAATGATATAAAGATTGCAAGTTGCTTCATTTTAGGCACTAAATTTTGGTCATTCTGTTGTTTCTTTCTCCACAAACAAACATGATAAGTTGACTCTGGGGGGCTATTGTCATTGATTTTATTTGATGGAAAATAGGAAGATTAAATTTGATAGAGGAGTGTGAAAAATTGCATGTAGGTATCAATCCTATGATATCTATTTATGAGTACAAATATAATAAGTTATAAAATATTTTTGAATGAATGAAACAATAAAAGTTTAAATTTTCTTCACCTCTAAGAATGTAAAAAAATAATATAACTCGACAAAAATAAATATTTTGGTATTTACTTATCCATCTAACTTTCATATTCCAATATTGAAGAATGGTGCCTATTGGTTGGCCTTGGACTGTGGAGGCATCAAAGACCAGGCCAGTTTGGGGCACCTGCCTGCCTTAATTAAGTCACTAAGTCATTTAGGAATTCAGGAATAGAGCTGCAGAATGAAGTTTTAGTTATACATGTGAAATTATAACTATGCTTGATGTGTATATTATTAGTGATATTGATTGAAAAAGTGCCAAATAAGTTGGACAAAGGATGAGAGTTTTAATGCATTAATTTCACCATTGAAAATTCTTTGTGATGTTTTCATCTTTTTTTAAATGATGCCGTTTTCTGGATCCAAAATCAGATTAGCTTTAGTATAATATATCATTTTTCACCTGGTTTGCAAAATAATGTCATGGTTGGCATATGCTTCTCATAGAAATGTTTTGGATTTTTTTACACAATTTGAAAGAGAAGTCTTTGTTATTTGGAGTGTGATATAGACTCCTCAACTGTAGTTTCTGATATCCTTGTGTTGCAGTATCTAGTTTGTGCTTGGATGAATTGTTTTACTTGGGGCCTAGCAAAAAATGTGGATAAACCAATTTGGTGGTTCAACAGTTCATGCTGGCCTTTAACATGTACACTGCATCATTAATTGCATCTTAAAACTGGGTCCTCAAGCTAGTGATGCATCCACTTTTTAGGACCATGGCTTTACCTTTATCAAGTTGTGTTTCATTCATATCCTCTTTTCAGAACTGTCCACCTGCCACGACTTTCTTCCTTTTTCATTTTCATTCTATTAGTTGGCTTACAAGTAGCATTCTTAGAACAGTTAGGCACTCATTCATGTTCCCACTTTGCAGCTCATGCTTGAGCTTTCCCTCATCCACAATTGCTTTCACTCACTCCACATTTGCTGAAAGACCACAGGCTATCAATATACTCCCTTTCATGGAATCTACAGTCTACTTCATGCTCTTAGGCGGAAAACAGGCTCTAAAAGATGCAGAATGTGGTTGTCTTTACAAAACATGTTTATACTCTTAAAAACTTATAGAAGACAGGATAATTGTTTGGATAAAATTAGAAATCTGTTTGTCTTGTACATACGTATTATAGCATTCTATATGCTTAAACCTAATTTGTGACTCTTGCATGGTGCTCGCAACTATGATCACATGATGATGTGCTTGGTAATCTGCAACGAACCTTTCTTAAAGGAAAAAACAAAATTGTAATTTTGAACTTTGAAAAGTGATAGCATTGATGATAATATGAAGAATAGATGATAACTGAATTCAAGTTGGTTTCTTCCTTGTGCTTGTTGTTTTTGGTTCTTCTTTTGTGGATTATACTCATGATCTAGTAATCTTACAAGAGTCCTGATAAGATTATGACAAGATTGTGGCTTCAATATTTATGTTTGTATATCAGTCTCTGTTTCTTGCCTGCATCTTGGAAAATTCCACACTGAGTAAAATCTCATGGAGCTGCAGCAAACTCAGCAGCCACAGCAAGAACCTCAGTTACCTTCTGCAACGCCACCTGCTCACCAACCTGCACCATCTCAGCCGTCTCCACAAGAAACAAGAGCTCCGCCCAGTCCCATCAAGAGCCAGCCGCAGGAAGAATCGAGGAAGGCAGATGCAAGTCTCCAGCCAGCAGCAGCATCTCCAGACCAGCCTCAAGAACCAGTCTCTCTTACGGAAAATTCAGAAACCGCTAACCCGCCCTCTCCACGTGAGGAGCCAATGCAGGTTGACACAGACAATTCCGAATCCGTAGAAGTCTCAGTTCCACCACCAGAGCAGACGGCCATGGAGGAGGCAATTCTTGTGACCCGCAACAGGTTGAGAAAACGAGCCGCTGCTGCTGCTGCTGCTGCTGATGCTGATGCTGGTCCAGTTTAGTTGTTTGGAATATCTGATTTGTTTTCTTGTGTTGTCAATGCATGGATTTGTTGATGAAGGATTGCAAATGATAGTTTTGCTCATCAATACAAGATGAATAACTTCATTGTAAATGATTGTTTTGTAAAAGACAAGTACGATTTGAATATTATGGATGAGAATTAAGCAACTTGTTGTTCATTATGATGAAGACAAAGTAGTACAGGAGATAATAGTTGAAAGGGCTTATAGTCAGCCTTTGAAAATGGCGGACGGGGGCAAAGGAGCAGAGTCAAGCTGGTAGAGGCCGAGGGAAGGGCCGACGAAGCGGAAGAGGATCCACCCTCCGGCGATGATGAAGATGGAGGCGTAGGCGAACTTGTTGAGCCAGAAGAGGACGCCCTTCTCCCCCACATAGAGCTCCACCGCCTTCTCGCCCAGCGTCATGGACTCCCAGTCCTTCTTCGGCGGGGGTTTCCTAACGCTCTGCTGCCGGGCCTGGTTCCGCGACCGTCGCCGGTACCTGATGTTGAGGGTGGTCGGCGGCGGCCGGGACGGCGACGCGGGGACTGATGCGGTGTCCGCTGATGCAGCTGAGTCACCGCTGGGCTTGTCACCAGTGCTTGCGACTTCATTCTCGTTGGTCGCTCGGAGAAGATGGAGACGGAGGCGGGTGAGGGAGGTTGAGAGAGGGCGTGCCCTTCTGAGGTAGCAGTGATTGGGATAGAGGGAAGGATGCAGCAATTTGGCATCCATGTCTGCTACTGGTTTGCTCTGCTCTCGCCTCGGCTGTGCCGTGCTCTACTCTGCTCTGCTCTCTCTCCTCTTCAGCTTGGTTGGCTGGGACTTTAGTTCATCTTATCCGTTTATCTTATGTGTGTTATGACCGTTTTACCCTGAAACTTTATGCTATTGACTCACTCACAACACACATTTTAAGTATTCTCTCTCAACAGAGAGAGAGAGAGTCAATAGTATTTTACTTTAGAAGAATTCTCAATATTGAGTTTTTATCAAATAATACCCTTTAATTAATTTTTATTTAACTTGAATTTTTTGTCAATTTGATAAAAGAACTTTCGGCCTTTCACTCGTTATCATCGATTGTCATTGGCCTTTGCTCTCACGTTAAACGAATCCTCTTTCCCCTCCTTTTTCTCTTTCACTTCGTTCCCCCTCTTCCATCTTTTCTTGACGCTTTTCCTTTCTTATCATGATGGGAGCAATGGACAAAATTGAGACAAGTGACGAGAGAGTCAATAAGCGAACAATAAAGATAGTGCGACCAATGATGAGATCGATGAAAAACCTCACCACTAACATTCTCACCGACATCGACACCCTTGCCTCTCACCTTCACTCTATTTATTGTTCTCATTGCAATGAGGAAGCACGAGCGATGAGAAAGGGAAAAGGAGAGGGTAATAGTGGTCGAGAATGATGATAGGAGAAAGACCGAGGGTATTTTTATCAAATTGATAAAAAAAGACATATAAATAAAAATCAATTAAGGAAACATCATATGTGAAAAACTCAATATTAAATTTTTTTAGATAAAATATTCATATATATATATATATATATATATATATATATATATCATATTAGTTAGATATCTCTCCGAAGTTACCGGTTGCAAATAGAAATAAAAATAGACTCAAAAATATACATAGAAATCATACCATGGTAATTTTTAGAGGGTATAAGGATCAATTAAAATTCAACATATTGAAATTATTGAGATTAATTATAAGGACATGCATAAACATAATTTTTAGGTTCATGTCATCAAGTTATGATATTTCGTGCCTGCATCAGCGAACAGGAGATCAGGAGGAGCGTCGATGATCCTCAACCGCTGCCTGTTCTCCTCGTGGATCATTCAAACGCCACAGATTCATAGGTCAAAGAATCTTTTGCTTCTACTACCTGCTTTCGTCCTCTCGAGTCGGCCGAAGTGGGCGAGGAAGGCGATGGTGGCTCCGGTAGCCACCCATCTCGCTTCATTTAAGACCTCGCCTGATCGCCACTAGCGTCGTCTTTCGACGCTTCAAGAACCAAAACCTATAGTCCTTTAATGTGCCCAACCCCATTCTTCTGTCGCCATGCCTCTTCTTCTGGGAGCACACCTCTCTAATCGAGCAAAACCAAGAGAAGTCAAAGAGTACCTCTCGCCTCTGGTGCTCGCTCGTCGTTTGTTCTCTACCGTCTTTGTTCAGTAGAGAGAAGGAAGTTGTGAGGATGGAGTTGCTTCTCGTGCTTCCTACAGGATGACCAACCTCGAAGAACTCTCCGCACTCTCCTATGTTCGCCGGAGAACACAGTGCAAGGATGGGCTGGAGAGACGAGAGCCAAGGTCTCTTATGTTCTCGGCCGACGCTTTCTTCCTGCGGGCCGACGAAATCTCCGCCGCACACAGCGACACTTCTGCGCCAGTATTCTCCGTACCTTCTCACTGAAAGCAACTCCATCTTCACACCTTTTACGACGAGCATCACGATGGAGAACATGCGCCCGAGAACGGAGATATCATTCGACTTCGCCCTGGTAACAGAAGAGTACTCCCGGAAGACGAGGCAGGGTGACAGAGGAGTGGGGATGGGGGTGGGGTCGATGGACACATTAAAGGGCTACTGGTCTCGGCCCTGGAAGCGTCAGATACCACCAGTGAAGATGAAGGGAGAAGGTCTCAAGGGAGAACGAAAGCAAGTAGGTAGCTTCAGAAGAAAACGATGCTTTGTCCCAAGTACCTCTGGCGTTGGATTCGATCCACGACGATGCCAGGCCGCGCTTGAGGATCATCGACGCTTCTCCTGATCTCCTGCTCCTCTGTGCAGGCACCAAAGATCAAAACATGATGCATAGTCACCCAAACACACACACAGAGAGAGAGAGAGAGAGAGAGAGAGAGAGAGAGAGAGAGAGATCCTCTTCGTAGGAGAGCACAGCAGAGGGGTTGTGTTAAGGCGTTTAAAAGGACGTGCCGATGCAACTCCTCTTCCCTAACACAATCAATGTGGAGATAGCGATACAGTGACAGCAGGCAAGGGGAGAGGAATGATCCAAGCAACCACATAATGCTGCTTCACTTGATGATCCTTATCTCATGTCTTGCAGAATTGAGCAAGATTTTTTTGCATTTTATCACCAAAAACCACATCACTTTTTTCTGAATTCAAGGAAGATTTCTAGATTCAGTGTGATGTGAATGAAAGACAAAGCTATAAACCAAAATGTCATGATCATGTTAAGGAAGCCATGATCTTTTGTACCCTAAATGTACATGAGGAACATTCATCATCAAGTATGATTACGTTCATCTCCATATTCATATATATGATATGCTCCATGAACTGTAAATCCTTTGCATGGTAATTAACCTCCTCGATGTGTGTATCTTCCAGGAAGCTTTTCTCGTTCTTTTATTATTTGCAATGAATCGCATGGGGAGGAGAACCAAATCACGTATATCTTTGCTTATTGGGATCCTTATGAAACGTTTTGACTCTTCCTTGGTCAACATTATTGTAGGAATATTGTAAAATAAGAAAAAAAATCATGTAGATAAATAAATAAGAAAAAAAATATTTAAGATAGAATGAACATAAGTTATAAAAAAAAAACATGCAAATGCTATATTATTTAAAAGAAATTATTATAATTAGTCATAGAGTATAGATGGAAAAATACGTTAAAAAATTTATTATATTCTATAAGTAAAGATTTATATATTTTTAATGTGATAGAGAATATATTTTTTCGTAAATCTCAACGGTGACAATAAATTTATGCAACTAATCTCAAATAGTCAAGATATTATCGATTTATTTTTTAATGATAATAATAGTTATAATCATTGTCGTTGTCATCGTGATAGAGACTTTTAACAAATTATTCCTGTAACAAGTTACTTTTGGCATTCCGATTCTTATACTTTCAAAGATTATATTAAGATTTTTATATTTATAAAAATAAAATATTTAAGCTCATTTTTTCTTCGTACAGTTGACTTTGCTTACGAAAATATCATAAAAAATCTATAATATTTCTAAAAACAGTGGATGACATAAAGAGAAACAAGATTAAATAATTTACTTTCGTAAATATAAGGATCATAATATAATATTTAAATATATAAAGATCGAGATACTAAATATAATTAATTATAAAATATAATTTATAATTAATCGTACGGCCATTCCAAAGAAATCGGGTGGGTCTCAACCTTCTTCCTTAAGAATACATGGCAGCTACTTAATAATTGTCATAGAACATTCCAAACAAAAAACTAAAACATGGAAATGGCGTGATTGTTTCCACATCATTAGTGCGTTGTAAATTGCGTTATCGGTGCATCTTTTCCCACCTCACCGCATCCAAAGTCTAAGTCCACGCCAATCGGTAACCTACCACAGTCGGCCTTGTACTAACCTAATAATGCGATGCAGCTCAAGTCAAGTCAATCCGTTTATCTTCTACACTCCATAAAATCCTTTGTTTGGCCAATATGACCGTCGTTAATGTCAATTATTCCTGTCGGACATTTAAGATAATACGCAGCTATTCTACGTCGGCTGACCTTTGTCACGCCGAAGTGGACAGATCACCTTAGCGAAATCCGCTGCCGTGACGTCTTTGCAAAGCCTCCGGAACCGACCGATGGGGATCGGACGGATTCCGTTGCCGACGAACGCTTGCTTTATGATTCGGACGCCACCTCGTGATCATGCGGCGACTAATTGGAGCGTCACCAAGTCTACGGTCGATAATAAGTGTTCTTTAATCATGTGTTCCCTCGTCTGGAGGAGGCGTCGTGTGAATCGGGGAAGCCGTACGCGACACAGCTCTGCCTCTCGGGGACGGATGATCGCCCGTTCCAGGGAAGGCAGGGAACACGCACATCTCTCATCGTGTTATTTGTGGGGGCTTCGGAAGTCAGAGCCTGACAGCTTGTGTGAGGGAGGTATGGAGTTCCTGTCTCGATAGAGACAGGTGACCGAGACGGAGGGTGGGGGGCGAGCATGGGACCCTGCGGGACCCGCTTATTTCTGACGCAAGCGACG